ACGTCACGCTAATTTATCACATTAACATCACGCTAATTTCTCACATTAACATCATGCTAATGTCTCACGTTAACATCACGCTAATGTCTCACATTAACATCACGCTAATCTCTCACATTAACATCACGCTAATGTCTCACATTAACATCACGCTAATGTCTCACATTAACATCACGCTAATGTCTCACATTAACATCACGCTAATTTCTCACATTAACATCACGCTAATGTCTCACATTAACATCACGCTAATGTCTCACTTTAACATCACGCTAATTTCTCACATTAACATCATGCTAATCTCTCGGATTAACATCACGCTAATGTCTCACATTAACATCACGCTAATGTCGCACATTAACATCACGCTAATGTCTCACATTAACATCACGCTAATTTCTCACATTAACATCACGCTAATGTCCCACATTAACATCACGCTAATGTTTAACATTAACATCACGCTAATTTCTCACATTAACATCACGCTAATCTCTCACATTAACATCACGCTAATTTCTCACATTAACATCACGCTAATGTCTCACATTAACATCACGCTAATGTCTAACATTAACATCACGCTAATTTCTCACGTGAACATCACGCTAATTAATCACATTAACATCACGTCAATGTCTCACATTAACATCACGCTAATTTCTCACGTTAACATCACGCTAATGTCTTACATTAACATCACGCTAATGCCTCACATTAACATCACGCTAATTTATCACATTAACATCACGCTAATTTATCACATTAACATCATGCTAATTTCTCACTTTAACATCACGCTAATTTCTCACATTAACATCACGCTAATGTCTCACATTAACATCACGCTAATATCTCACATTAACATCACGCTAATGTCTCACATTAACATCACGCTAATTTCTCACATTAACATCATGCTAATGTCTCACATTAATATCATGCTAATGCCTCACATTAACATCACGCTAATGTCTCATGTTAACATCACGGTAATCTCTCATATTAACATCACGCTAATCTCTCACATTTACATCATGATAATCTCTCGCATTAACATCACGCTAATGTCTCACATTAACATCACGATAATGTATCACATTAACTTCACGCTAATGTCTCACATTAACATCACGCTAATGTCTCACATTAACATCACACTAATTTCTCACATTAACATCACGCTAATCTCTCGCATTAACATCACGCTAATGTCTCACATTAACATCACGCTAATCTCTCACATTAACATCACGCTAATTTCTCACATTAACATCACGCTAATGTCTCACATTAACATCACGCTAATTTCTCACATTAACATCACGCTAATGTCTCACATTAACATCACGCTAATGTCTCACATTAACATCACGCTAATTTCTCACATTAACATCATGCTAATCTCTCGGATTAACATCACGCTAATGTCTCACATTAACATCACGCTAATGTCACACATTAACATCACGCTAATGTCTCACATTAACATCACGCTAATTTCTCACATTAACATCACGCTAATGTCCCACATTAACATCACGCTAATGTTTAACATTAACATCACGCTAATTTCTCACATTAACATCACGCTAATCTCTCACATTAACATCACGCTAATCTCTCACATTAACATCACGCTAATCTCTCACATTAACATCACGCTAATCTCTCACATTAACATCACGCTAATCTCTCACATTAACATCACGCTAATGTCTCACATTAATATCACGCTAATTTCTCACATTAACATCACGCTAATGTCTCACATTAACATCACGCTAATTTATCACATTAACATCACGCTAATCTCTCACATTAACATCACGCTAATGTCTAACATTAACATCACGCTAATTTCTCACGTGAACATCACGCTAATTAATCACATTAACATCACGTCAATGTCTCACATTAACATCACGCTAATTTCTCACGTTAACGTCACGCTAATGTCTTACATTAACATCACGCTAATGCCTCACATTAACATCACGCTAACTTATCACATTAACATCACGCTAATTTATCACATTAACATCACGCTAATTTCTCACTTTAACATCACGCTAATTTCTCACATTAACATCACGCTAATTTATCACATTATCATCACGCTAATTTATCACATTAACATCAGGCTAATTTCTCACTTTAACATCACGCTGATTTATCACGAAAACATCACGCTAATTTATCACATTAACATCACGCTAATGTCTCACATTAACATCACGCTAATTTATCACGTTAACATCACGCTAATTTATCACATTAACATCACGCTAATTTCTCACTTTAACATCACGCTAATTTCTCACATTAACATCACGCTAATTTATCACATTAACATCACGCTAATTTCTCACGTTAACATCACGCTAATTTATCACATTAACATCACGCTAATGTCTCACATTAACATCACGCTAATGTATCACATTACCATCACGCTAATCTCTCACATTAACGTCACGCTAATGTCTAACATTAACATCACGCTAATCTCTCACATTAACATCACGCTAATCTCTCACATTAACAACATGCTAATCTCTCACATTTACATCACGTTAATGTCTCACATTAACATCACGCTAATCTCTCACATTAACATCACGTTAATGTCTCACGTTAACATCACGCTAATTTCTCACGTTAACATCACGCTAATGTCTCACATTAACATCACGCTAATCTCTCACATTAACATCACGTTAATGTCTCACATTAACATCACGCTAATGTCTCACGTTAACGTCACGCTAATTTATCACATTAACATCACGCTAATTTCTCACATTAACATCATGCTAATGTCTCACGTTAACATCACGCTAATGTCTCACATTAACATCACGCTAATCTCTCACATTAACATCACGCTAATGTCTCACATTAACATCACGCTAATGTCTCACATTAACATCACGCTAATCTCTCACATTAACATCACGCTAATGTCTCACGTTAACATCACGTTAATGTCTCACATTAACGTCACGCTAATGTCTCACATTAACGTCACGCTAATGTCTCACATTAACATCACGCTAATCTCTCACATTAACATCACGCTAATTTCTCACATTTACATCACGCTAATGTCTCACATTAACATCACCAGCCTCGTCCACTTCTTTATGAAACTTGGGCTAGACCCATTTCAAACATTCTAAAATTCAGCCTCAGCAGCATGCCACGGCTTTCCCCACCTGATGATGGACGCTTGTGGTGCGCCCGAAACGTCGGGATTTATTTCATTTCATGCCTACGTGATTTTAGCGAAAGAACCAAAGAATATTGTTGTTGTTGTTGTGCAGGCGACTGCTACACGTGCATTGGAGAAGACTATCGGGGTAAGACGTCCCGCACGGAGACGGGGAGGGAGTGTCAACGCTGGGACCAGCTGGAACCTCACAGACACAGCTACCAGCCACACAGGTACTCACACAGGTACTCACTCACACACACAGACACAGGTACTCACTCACACACACAGACACAGGTACTCACTCACACACACAGACACAGGTACTCACTCACACACACAGACACAGGTACTCACTCACACACACAGACACAGGTACTCACACACACACAGACACACACACAGGTACTCACACAGGTACTCACACACACACAGACACAGCTACCAGCCACACAGGAACTCACTCACACACACAGACACAGGTACTCACACAGGTACTCACTCACACACACAGACACAGGAACTCACTCACACAGACACAGGTACTCACACACACACAGACACAGGTACTCACACAGGTACTCACTCACACACACAGACACAGGTACTCACTCACACACACACAGGTACTCACTCACACACACAGACACAGGTACTCACTCACACACACGGACACAGCTACCAGCCACACAGGTACTCACACTCACTCACACACAGACAGAGGTACTCACACAGACACAGGTACTCACACAGGTACTCACTCACACACACAGACACAGGTACTCACTCAAGTACTCACTCACACACACAGACACAGGTACTCACTCACACACACACAGACACAGGTACTCACTCACACACACAGACACAGGTACTCACTCAAGTACTCACTCACACACACAGACACAGCTACCAGAAACACAGGTACTCACTCACACACACACAGACACAGGTACTCACTCACACACACACAGACACAGGTACTCACACACACACACACAGACACAGGTACTCACACAGGTACTCACACACACACAGACACAGACACAGGTACTCACTCACACAGACACAGGTACTCACTCACACACAGACACACACACAGGTACTCACACACACACAGACACAGCTACCAGCCACACAGGTACTCACTCACACACACAGACACAGGTACTCACTCACTCACACACAGACACAGGTACTCACACAGGTACTCACTCACACACACAGGTACTCACACAGATACTCACTCTCACACACACACACACAGCTACCAGCCACACAGGTACTCACTCACACACACAGACACAGGTACTCACACACACAGACACAGGTACTCACTCACAAACACACAGACACAGGTACTCACACAGGTACTCACTCACACACACAGACACAGGTACTCATTCACACACACACACACACAGACACAGGTACTCACACAGGTACTAACTCACACACACACAGACACAGCTACCAGCCACACAGTACAGTACTGTATAGCAGAGTAATGTATAGTAGTGTAGTGTATAGTGTAGTGTATAGTAGAGTAGTTTGTGTAGTGTAGTGTGTAGTGTATAGTAGTGTAGTGTATAGTGTAGTGTATAGTAGTCTATATTGTAGTAGTGTAGTTTGTAGTATATAGTCGCGTAGTGTATAGTAGAGTAGTGTATAGTAGTGTATAGTGTAGTGTATAGTAGTGTAGTGTATAGTGTAGTGTATAGTAGAGTAGTGTATAGTGTAGTGTATAGTGTAGTGTATAGTAGTGTAGTGTATAGTGTAGTGTATAGTGTAGTGTATAGTGTAGTATATAGTAGTGTATTGTATAGTGTATAGTGTAGTGTTTAGTAGAGTAGTGTGTAGTGTATAGTCGTGTAGTGTATAGTAGTGTATAGTGTAGTGTATAGTGTAATGTGTAGTGTGTAGTGTATAGTGTAGTGTATAGTAGTGTAGTGTATAGTGTAGTGTATAGTCGTGTAGTGTAGTGTATAGTAGTGTAGTGTATAGTAGTGTAGTGTATAGTGTAGTGTATAGTAGAGTAGTGTATAGTGTAGTGTATACTAGTGTAGTGTATAGTAGTGTAGTCTATAGTGGAGTAGTGTATAGTGTAGTGTATAGTAGTGTAGTGTATAGTGTAGTGTATAGTAGTGTAGTGTATAGTGTAGTGTATAGTAGTGTATTGTATAGTGTAGTGTATAGTAGTGTAGTGTATAGTGTAGTGTATAGTGTAGTGTTTAGTGGAGTAGTATATAGTGTAGTGTATAGTCGTGTAGTGTATAGTAGTGTAGTGTATAGTGTAGTGTATAGTAGAGTAGTGTATAGTGTAGTGTATAGTAGTGTAGTGTATAGTGTAGTGTATAATAGAGTAGTGTATAGTGTAGTGTATAGTAGTGTAGTGTATAGTGTAGTGTATAATAGAGTAGTGTATAGTGTAGTGTATAGTAGTGTAGTGTATAGTAGTGTAGTGTATAGTAGTGTAGTGTATAGTGTAGTGTATAGTAGTGTAGTGTATAGAGTAGTGTATAGTGTAGTGTATAGTGGTGTAGTGTATAGTAGAGTAGTGTATAGTAGTGTAGTGTATAGTAGTGTAGTGTATAGTAGTGTAGTGTATAGTGTAGTGTGTAGTAGAGTAGTGTATAGTGTAGTGTATAGTAGTGTTGTGTAGTGTATAGTGTAGTGTATAGTAGTGTAGTGCATAGAGTAGTGTATAGTAGTGTAGTGTATAGAGTAGTGTATAGTAGTGTAGTGTATAGAGTAGTGTATAGTAGTGTAGTGTATAGTAGAGTAGTGTATAGTGTAGTGTATAGTAGTGTAGTGTATAGTGTAGTGTATAGTAGTGTAGTGTATAGTGTAGTGTATAGTAGTGTAGTGTATAGTAGTGTATAGTAGTGTAGTGTATAGAGTAGTGTATAGTAGTGTAGTGTATAGTAGTGTATAGTAGTGTAGTGTATAGTAATGTAGTGTATAGTAGAGTAGTGTATAGTGTAGTGTATAGTAGTGTAGTGTATAGAGTAGTGCATAGTAGTGTAGTGTATAGAGTAGTGTATAGTAGTGTAGTGTATAGTGTAGTGTATAGTCGTGTAGTGTATAGTCGTGTAGTGTATAGTAGTGTAGTGTATAGTAGAGTAGTGTATAGTGTAGTGTATAGTATTGTAGTGTAGTGTATAGTGTAGTGTATAGTAGTGTAGTGTATAGAGTAGTGTATAGCAGAGTAGTGTATAGCACAGTAGTGCATGAGGCACGCACGCTCCCAGCCGCGGGGGGCTGTGAGAGGCGGCACACCCATCCAGCAGTGTATGGAGCGTGGCTCCGGCTCGCTGCGTTTGCGAGACAGTTTTCCCGAGCGTGGCCTGGTGAACAACTACTGCCGCAACCCAGACGGGGAGCCCAGACCCTGGTGCTACACCACGGACCCGGAAAAGCGGTGGGAGTACTGCGCCGTGGCCAAGTGCGGTGAGCGGGCAGAGCCACGCAGAGCACCCACACGTTCAGCTGCCCAGCCACCCAATTTCCCAGGCACACATTCAACCACCCAGCCAACCCAACCAGCCAAACACCCACCCAACCCAACCAGCCAAACATTCAACCACCCAACCACCCACCAACCCAACCAGCCAAACATTCAACCACCCACCCAACCCAGCCAAACACCCACCCACCCACCAACCCAACCACCAACCCAACCACCCACCCAACCACCCACCAACCAAACACCAACCCACCCAACCACTAACCCAACCAGCCAAACACCCACCCACCCCTCCACCAAACCACCCACCCACCCCCCCACCAAACCACCCACCCACCCAATCAACTATCCTCTACAGATGTAGATGCCACTGGTTCTTCACGCTCTACAGATGTAGATGCCACTGGTCCTTCATGTTGTAGAGATGTAGATGCCACTGGTTCTTCGCGTTCTGCAGGTGTAGATGCCACTGGTTCTTCACCTTCTGTAGATGTAGATGCCACTGGTTCTTCACGTTCTACAAATGTAGATGCCACTGGTTCTTCACGTTCTTCAGATGTAGATGCCACTGGTTCTTCACGTTCTGCAGAGGTAGATGCCACTGGTTCTTCGCGTTCTGCAGATGTAGATGCAACTGGTTCTTCACGTTCTACAGATGTAGAAGCCACTGGTTCTTCACGTTCTGCAGATGTAGATGCCACTGGTTCTTCACGTTCTACAGATGTAGATGCCACTGGTTCTTCACGTTCTGCAGATGTAGATGCCACTGGTTCTTCACGTTCTTCCAGATGTAGATGCCACTGGTTCTTCACGTTCTGCAGATATAGATGCCACTGGTTCTTCACGTTCTGCAGATGTAGATGCCACTGGTTCTTCACGTTCTGCAGATGTAGATGCCACTGGTTCTTCACCTTCTGTAGATGTAGATGCCACTGGTTCTTCACGTTCTACAAATGTAGATGCCACTGGTTCTTCACGTTCTACAAATGTAGATGCCACTGGTTCTTCACGTTCTTCAGATGTAGATGCCACTGGTTCTTCACGTTCTGCAGAGGTAGATGCCACTGGTTCTTCGCGTTCTGCAGATGTAGATGCCACTGGTTCTTCACGTTCTGCAGATGTAGATGCCACTGGTTCTTCGCGTTCTGCAGATGTAGATTCCACTGATTCTTCACGTTATACAGATATAGATGCCACTGGTTCTTCACGTTCTACAGATGTAGAAGCCACTGGTTCTTCACGTTCTGCAGATGTAGATGCCACTGGTTCTTCACTTTCTGCAGATGTAGATGCCACTGGTTCTTCACGTTCTTCCAGATGTAGATGCCACTGGTTCTTCACGTTCTGCAGATGTAGATGCCGCTGGTTCTTCACGTTCTGCAGATGTAGATGCCACTGGTTCTTCACGTTCTGCAGATGTAGATGCCACTGGTTCTTCGCGTTCTGCAGATTTAGATGCCACTGGTTCTTCACTATCTGCCGATGCCACTGGTTCTTCACGTTCTGCAGATGTAGATGCCACTGGTTCTTCACGTTCTGCAGATGTAGATGCCACTTTGTTCTTCATGCTCTGCAGATGACACTGGTTCTTCACGTTCTACAGATGTAGATGACACTGGTTCTTCACATTCTGCAGATGTAGATGCCACTGGTTCTTCACGTTCTACAGATGTAGATGCCACTGGTTCTTGACGTTCTGCAGATGTAGATGACACTGGTTCTTCACGTTCTGCAGATATAGATGCCACTGGTTCTTCACGTTCTGCAGATGTAGATGCCACTGGTTCTTCGCGTTCTGCAGATGTAGATGCCACTGGTTCTTCACGTTTTGCAGATGTAGATGCCACTGGTTCTTCACGTTCCACAGATATAGATGCCACTGGTTCCTCGCGTTCTGCAGATGTAGATGCCACTGGTTCTTCACGTTTTGCAGATGTATATGCCACTGGTTCTTCACGTTCTACAGATATAGATGCTACTGGTTCTTCACGTTCTGCAGATGTAGATGCCAATGGTTCTTCACGTTCTGCAGATGTAGATGCCACTGGTTCTTCACTCTCTGCAGATGCCACTGGTTCTTCACGTTCTGCAGATGCCACTGGTTCTTCACGTTCTGCTGATGCAGATGCCACTGGTTCTTCACGTTCTGCAGATGTAGATGCCACTTGTTCTTCATGCTCTGCAGATGCCACTGGTTCTTCACGTTCTGAAGATGTAGATGCCACTGGTTCTTCACGTTCTAAAGATGTAGATGCCACTGGTTCTTCATGTTCTGCAGCTGTAGATGCCACTGGTTTTCCCGTTCTACATATGTAGATGCCACTGGTTCTTCACGTTCTGCAGATGTAGATGCCACTGGTTCTTCACGTTCTGCAGATGTAGATGCCACTGTTTCTTCACGTTCTGCAGATGTAGATGCCACTGGTTCTTCACGTTCTGCAGATGTAAATGCCACTGGTTCTTCACGTTCTGCAGATGTAGATGCCACTGGTTCTTCACGTTCTGCAGATTTAGATGCCACTGGTTCTTCACGTTCTGCAGATGTAGATGCCACTGGTTCTTCACGTTCTGCAGATGTAGATGCCACTGGTTCTTCGCGTTCTGCAGATTTAGATGCCACTGGTTCTTCACTATCTGCAGATGCCACTGGTTCTTCACGTTCTGCAGATGTAGATGCCACTGGTTCTTCACGTTCTGCAGATGTAGATGCCACTTTGTTCTTCATGCTCTGCAGATGACACTGGTTCTTCACGTTCTACAGATGTAGATGACACTGGTTCTTCACATTCTGCAGATGTAGATGCCACTGGTTCTTCACGTTCTACAGATGTAGATGCCACTGGTTCTTGACGTTCTGCAGATGTAGATGACACTGGTTCTTCACGTTCTGCAGATATAGATGCCACTGGTTCTTCACGTTCTGCAGATGTAGATGCCACTGGTTCTTCGCGTTCTGCAGATGTAGATGCCACTGGTTCTTCACGTTTTGCAGATGTAGATGCCACTGGTTCTTCACGTTCTGCAGATGTAGATGCCACTGGTTCTTCACGTTCTGCAGATGTAGATGCCACTGGTTCTTAACGTTCTGCAGATGCCACTGGTTCTTCACGTTCTACAGATGTAGAAGCCACTGGTTCTTCACGTTCTGCAGATGCCACTGGTTCTTCACGTTCTGCAGATGTAGATGCCACTTGTTCTTCATGCTCTGCAGATGCCACTGGTTCTTCACGTTCTGAAGATGTAGATGCCACTGGTTCTTCACGTTCTAAAGATGTAGATGCCACTGGTTCCTCATGTTCTGCAGCTGTAGATGCCACTGGTTCTTCCCGTTCTACATATGTAGATGCCACTGGTTCTTCACGTTCTGCAGATGTAGATGCCACTGGTTCTTCACGTTCTGCAGATGTAGATGCCACTGGTTCTTCACGTTCTGCAGATGTAGATGCCACTGGTTCTTCGCGTTCTGCAGATTTAGATGCCACTGGTTCTTCACTATCTGCAGATGCCACTGGTTCTTCACGTTCTGCAGATGTAGATGCCACTGGTTCTTCACGTTCTGCAGATGTAGATGCCACTTTGTTCTTCATGCTCTGCAGATGACACTGGTTCTTCACGTTCTACAGATGTAGATGACACTGGTTCTTCACATTCTGCAGATGTAGATGCCACTGGTTCTTCACGTTCTACAGATGTAGATGCCACTGGTTCTTGACGTTCTGCAGATGTAGATGACACTGGTTCTTCACGTTCTGCAAATATAGATGCCACTGGTTCTTCACGTTCTGCAGATGTAGATGCCACTGGTTCTTCGCGTTCTGCAGATGTAGATGCCACTGGTTCTTCACGTTTTGCAGATGTAGATGCCACTGGTTCTTCACGTTCTACAGATATAGATGCCACTGGTTCCTCGCGTTCTGCAGATGTAGATGCCACTGATTCTTCACGTTTTGCAGATGTATATGCCACTGGTTCTTCACGTTCTACAGATATAGATGCCACTGGTTCTTCACGTTCTGCAGATGTAGATGCCACTGGTTCTTCACGTTCTGCAGATGTAGATGCCACTGGTTCTTCACTCTCTGCAGATGCCACTGGTTCTTCACGTTCTGCAGATGTAGATGCCACTGGTTCTTCACGCTCTGCAGATGCCACTGGTTCTTCACGTTCTAAAGATGTAGATGCCACTGGTTCTTCATGTTCTGCAGCTGTAGATGCCACTGGTTCTTCCCGTTCTACATATGTAGATGCCACTGGTTCTTCACGTTCTGCAGATGTAGATGCAACTGGTTCTTCACGTTCTGCAGATGTAGATGCCACTGTTTCTTCACGTTCTGCAGATGTCGATGCCACTGGTTCTTCACGTTCTGCAGATGTAAATGCCACTGGTTCTTCACGTTCTGCAGATGTAGATGCCACTGGTTCTTCACGTTCTGCAGATGTAAATGCCACTGGTTCTTCGCGGTCTGCATATGTAGATGTCACTGGTTCTTCGCGTTCTGAAGATTTAGATGCTACTGGTTCTTCACTCTCTGCAGATGCCACTGGTTCTTCACGTTCTGCAGATGTAGATGCCACTTGTTCTTCATGCTCAGCAGATGCCACTGGTTCTTCACGTTCTGCAGATGTAGATGCCGCTGGTTCTTGACGTTCTGCAGATGTAGATGCCACTGGTTCTTCACGTTCTACAGATGTAGATGCCACTGGTTCTTCACGTTCTGCAGATGTAGATGCCACTGGTTCTTCACGTTCTACAGATGTAGACGACACTGGTTCTTCACGTTCTAAAGATGTAGATGCCACTGGTTCTTCACGTTCTACAGATGTAGAAGCCACTGGTTCTTCACGTTCTGCAGATGCCACTGGTTCTTCACGTTCTGCAGATGTAGATGCCACTGGTTCTTCACGTTCTGCAGATGTAGATGCCACTGGTTCTTCACTCTCTGCAGATGCCACTGGTTCTTCACGTTCTGCAGATGTAGATGCCACTGGTTCTTCACGCTCTGCAGATGCCACTGGTTCTTCACGTTCTGCAGATTTAGATGCCACTGGTTCTTCGTTTTCTGCATATGTAGATGTCACTGGTTCTTCGCGTTTTGCATATTTAGATGCCACTGGTTCTTCACTCTCTGCAGATGTAGATGACACTGGTTCTTCACTTTCTACAGATGTAGATGCCACTGGTTCTTCACGTTCTGCAGATGTAGATGCCACTGGTTCTTCGCGTTCTGCAGATGTAGATGCCACTGATTCTTCACGTTCTGCAGATGTAGATGCCACTGATTCTTCACGTTCTGCAGATGTAGATGCCACTGGTTCTTCGTTTTCTGCATATGTAGATGTCACTGGTTCTTCGCGTTCTGCATATTTAGATGACACTGGTTCTTCACTCTCTGCAGATGTAGATGACACTGGTTCTTCACTTTCTACAGATGTAGATTCCACTGGTTCTTCACGTTCTGCAGATGTAGATGCCACTGGTTCTTCGCGTTCTGCAGATGTAGATGCCACCGATTCTTCACGTTCTGCAGATGTAGATGCCACTGGTTCTTCACGTTCTGCAGATGCCACTGGTTCTTCACGCTCTACAGATGTAGATGCCACTGGTTTTTCACGTTCTACAGATGTAGATGCCACTGGTTCTTCACGTTCTACAGATGTAGATGCCACTGGTTCTTAACGTTCTGCAGATGTAGATGCCACTGGTTCTTCGCGTTCTGCAGATGTAGATGCCACTGGTTCTTAACGTTCTGCAGATGTAGATGCCACTGGTTCTTCGCGTTCTGCAGATGTAGATGCCACTGGTTCTTCACGTTCTGCAGATGTAGATGCCACCACCACCATCTATTGCGTTGTGGACGAACTCACGACTCTCTCGGTCCGAATAGCCGAAAACTGGACGTAGGGACCAGGTTGGTTCGCATCTCTGAAAGTTCGTGGGTCGAATGTTGATGAGTACTGGAGGAGTCCCTGTGCTCTCCAAGCTCGCGAATCGCCGAGCAATGGCCGGTTGTCTCGAATGGTGCTTTAACATCTTCACGCACCTGTTTTTGTTGCCAGGGAAGGGAAAAAAAAACTATTATCACCAATATTATTCGCAACAGGAGGGTTACATTTTGACTTGAAACTGTCGTGACTGCAGGAAAAAAAAACCCCTATCGTCACGATTTAATACTGGCAAGGGATGTCTAATGAAATATCATTAGTGTCAAAATACATTTTCACTTGAAGCTTTCGGTGACTGCAGGAATCCATATACTCTTTTGTTTCTTTCGGTAAAATATTTTTCTACCTGCCTGAGTGAAAACTAATATTATTTTTCCCTCGGTAAAGTCACGTCGGTAGAATTTTTTTTTTATTATTATTATTAGAGAAAAAAGAAATAACATTATTATTTTACTATTATTATTTGTAATTTTTTCTGATATTTTTCTACCAAGGAGTAAGCAAAAATCCTTTTTCATTCAACAAAACAAATTACGGCAAAGCACATCGCGATTGGAGCTGCCCCCTGGTCAGAATTTGTGGGGGGCCCCCCCAATGAGTTTGACAAAAATGGTGGGGGTGGCCCCGAGCTTGAGGTGCCAGTCCCCGGCCACCAGCATCATCATCACCCTGCCCCCCCCCCCCCCGGTTTCCGTTGTTTCTCTTACCCAGAGGGGTCGCCCCCCACAAACCCCGACCTGGAGGTCACCTTGACCTGCGTGAAAGGTCAAGGGGAGGGCTACCGGGGCACCGTCTCGGTCACCGTGTCGGGCCGGACCTGCCAGGCCTGGGACTCGCAGAGTCCACACGCTCATCGTAGGCGGCCGGAGGTCTACAGCTGCAAGTGAGTGTGGGGGTGGTGGGAATACACACAGTACACACACACAGTACACACACACAGTACACAAACACAGTACACACACAGTACACACAGTACACAAACAGTACACACAGTACACACAGTACACACACACAGTACACACAGTACACACAGTACACACACACAGTACACACACACAGTACACACTCAGTACACACACAGTACACACACACAGTACACACAGTACACACACAGTACACACAGTACACACACAGTACACACACACACAGTACACACACAGTACACACACAGTACACACACAGTACACAGACACACACAGTACACACAGTACACACACAGTACACACACAGTACACACAGTACACACACAGTACACACACACACAGTACACACACACACAGTACACACACAGTACACACACACAGTACACACACACAGAGTCCACACGCTCATCGTAGGCGGCCAGAGGTCTACAGCTGCAAGTGAGTGTGGGGGTGGTGGGAATACACACAGTACACACAGTACACACACACAGTACACACAGTACACACACAGTACACACACAGTACACACACATAGTACACACAGTACACACACATAGTACACACACAGTACACACACAGTACACACAGTACACACACAGTACACACAGTACACACACAGTACACACAGTACACACACACAGTACACACACACAGTACACACACATAGTACACACACAGTACACACACAGTACACACACAGTACACACAGTACACACACAGTACACACACACAGTACACACACACAGTACACACAGTACACACACAGTACACACACAGTACACACACAGTACACACACATAGTACACACACATAGTACACACACATAGTACACACACAGTACACACAGTACACACAGTACACACACAGTACACACACATAGTACACACACAGTACACACACAGTACACACAGTACACACACAGTACACACAGTACACACACAGTACACACAGTACACAGACAGTACACACAGTACACACACAGTACACACACAGTACACACACAGTACACACACAGTACACACAGCACACACACAGTACACACACAGTACACATGCACACAGTACACACACAGTACACACACAGTACACACACAGTACACACACACAGTACACACACAGTACACACAGTACACACACACAGTACACACACAGTACACACACACAGTACACACAGTACACAGTACACACACACACAGTACACACACAGTACACACAGTACACAGTACACACACAGTACACACATAGTACACACAGTACACACACAGTACACACACACAGTACACACACAGTAGACACACAGTACACACACAGTACACAGTACACACACAGTACACACACAGTACACACACAGTACACAAAGTACACACACAGTACACACACAGTACACACACAGTACACATAGACACACAGTACACAGTACACACACAGTACACACACAGTACACACACAGTACACACACACACAGTACACACAGTACACACAGTACACACACACACAGTACACACATAGAACACACAGTACACACACAGTACACACACACACACAGTACACACAGTAAACACATAGTACACACACAGTACACACAGTACACACACAGTACACACACACACAGTACACACACAGTACACACAGTACACACACACAGTACACACACAGTACACACACACAGTACACACACAGTACACACACACAGTACACACACAGTACACACACAGTACACACACAGTACAAACAGTACACACACACAGTACACACACACACAGTACACACACAGTACACACACACACAGTACACACACACACAGTACACACACAGTACACACACAGTACACACACACAGTACACACACAGTACACACACACAGTACACACAGTACACACACAGTACACACACAGTACACATACACACACAGTACACACACAGTACACACACAGTACACACACACAGAGTACACACACAGTACACATACACACAGTACACATACAGTACACACACAGTACACATACACAGTACACACACAGTACACACACAGTACACACACAGTACACACACACAGTACACACAGTACACACACACAGTACACACAGTACACACACAGTACACACACAGTACACATACACACACAGTACACACACAGTACACACACAGTACACACAGTACACACACAGTACACACACACAGTACACACACACAGTACACACACATACAGTACACACACACAGTACACACACACACAGTACACACACACACAGTATACACATAGTACACACACACAGTACACACACAGTACACACACAGTACACACACACAGTACACACACAGTACACACACACAGTACACACACAGTACACACACAGTACACAGTACACACACACAGTACACACACACAGTACACACACAGTACACAGTACACACACACAGTACACACACACAGTACACACACACACACAGTACACACACAGTACACACACAACAACAACAACCGCCATTCGCCACTAAGTGGCGGTGACGTCACCACGACGCTTGTGCTAGGCCATGTGCACCTTGAAGCCACGTGAAGTGTCGAACGCCCACTGGCAGGAGATCACAGGGCAGACCCAGGTGCCACGGGGCGACTGACTGAGATGACTGGCTGATGCACCACCTGTGCCCCCTACTGTGCCAACCTGCTGTGTTTTAGCCACCTGGCGCTCCACTCGTTGTTGTGAGCGTCGCTCCTCCGCCCTCCGTTGTTGTTGGAGTGCGACTGCCTCCAACTGCCCAGTAGCGTCCTTCACGAGCCTCCTCCACAGAGGCCGATCTTGACACCGCTGATACCAGTCATCGGCAAGTCCACTCAGCTCCACGTCCTCCTGTACCACATCACTCCATCTCTTCTCCAGCCCGTGCCGCTCCCGTTTAGCCCCCTCGATCCGGCCGAACAAAAGCTGTTTCGGCATGCGGTGGCTGGGTATGCGGGCTACATGACCTAGCCAACGCAGCTTTGCCTGCCGGAGGAGCTCACCGATGGGACCGTGCCCAGATCTTTCAAGGATTTGTGAGCTCCTCACACAATCCAGCCTGGTTAAACCCAGGATGGATCGTAGGCAGGCCAGCCTAAATGTTTCTAACCGGCGAACCGCAAGCGTAGAGAAGTGAGGGAATGACCGTGGCCGAGAAGACCTGAAGCTTAGTGCGGAGCGACAGACCAGGTAGCTTCCACACAGCGTTACGCAACCGATGAAAAGATATTGCCGCTCGAGTGATTCGGAGTGAGACCTCTGCTGTTAAACTGGAGCCGGTCATAAGCACACTGCCCAGGTATGGGAAACTCTCCACTTTCTCCACAACTGCCCCATCACCGATTGGGAGTTGTGGGAGTGGAGTGTCCGATGGTACAAAATACCCAGGCAGGTGCTTAGTTTTGGTGGGGCTGATGGTAAGGCCCCATCTCTTAGTGGCACGCTCTAGTCTCAGCAGCAGCATCTCCAACTCCTCCTCTGAATGAGCAGCTATTACCAAATCATCGGCATACATAACGTGGTTGAGCAATAGGGAGCCATCCCTTGACCACACCCGGGCATCGATCAGCCTCCCATTATATCTGTACCATATGGAGATTCCCCCAGTACAGCTATTGAAGGCTTCACGAACTACGTGATCAAAATAGAGGTTAAATAATGTGGGAGCCAGAGGACATCCCTGTCGCACCCCAAGGTGTACAGGAAATGGCTCTGATTCCCGGCCACGTAGTTTTACCCGGGCCCGCTCACCATCATGAACGTCCTTAATGATCGTGAGCAGAGGGTCAGGTACTCCAAAAGCACGAAGAACAACCCAGAGCCCAGGCCTACTGATGGTATCATAGCCCTTGACCAGGTCAATAAAGCAGAGATGTAGGTCTTGCTGGAATTCCCTACACCTCTGCTGTAGCAGACGGACAGAAAATATGGCATCTGTGCAGGACCGCCCTTTCCTGAAACCGCATTGGGGCTCCGCAAGCCTCGCCTCAGCGTGCCTGGCAAGGCGATGTTGAATAATCCTTGCCAGGACCTTTCCCGGCACACTGAGGAGTGAAATGCCCCTGTAGTTGTTACAGTCTGTGCGGTCCCCCTTCTTAAAAAGGGGGACCACCAGGGCATCCTTCCAATCCTGCGGAACCCGTCCAGTGGTCCAGACTGTTGTTATGATGTCATATATATATCAGTCTGTGCACAAACGCCACCCTCCCTCAGCATTTCGCTTGGGAGATCATCTCTGCCCGCTGCCTTTCCTGGTCTCAGACTCCGGATCGCCTTCAGTACTTCCTCAACAGATGGCACCTCAGCCAGCCACTCACAGGGGAATGACTTCCTCTTCCAATATTTGAGGCACCGCAGCCTCAGCAGGGTCATCCCCGCTTTGTGCCACGATGTTTTCCTGGCTGAGGGATTTTCCCTCCCCCAGGACCTCACAGAAATGCTCAGCAAATCTGCATACCTGTTGCTGGGGGTCGGAGATTGGATCACCGTTTTTTCCCCGAATGATGGTAATAGGTGTGGCGCTGCAGGTTACACACACACAGTACACAGACACAGTACACACACACCAAGATAGTACACACACACAGTACTCACACACACACAGATGGAGATTAATACACACACAGTACACACACAGTACACACACACAGTACACACACACCAAGATAGTACACACACAGTACACACACAGATAGTTGTTGTTTGTTGTTGTTGGTTGTTGTTTTGGTAAAGTTACGTAGTTAGAAATCAATTAAAACAATTCACGACGTTTCCATCGCAATACCAAGCGGTCGTCATCGGGCAAAGGGGTCAGCCTCTCAAGGCCAACTCTTCATAAGGGCTTGGGGATGGGCGTAGCCCAAGTGTAGCACGAACAACAACAACAACAGCAGCAGAAGATAGGGGGTACACAAGTGCCAATGCAGCAGCAATGCCAATGTAACAACAATGCCAATGTAGCAGCAATGCCAATGTAGCAACAATGCCAATGCAGCAGCAATGCCAATGTAGCAACAATGTCAATGTAGTAACAATGTCAATGTAGCAACAATGCCAATGTAGTAACAATGCCAATGTAGCAACAATGCCAATGTAGCAACAATGTCAATGTAGCAGCAATGCCAATGCAGCAGCAATGCCAATGTAACAACAATGCCAATGTAGCAGCAATGCCAATGTAGCAACAATGCCAATGCAGCAGCAATGCCAATGTAGCAACAATGTCAATGTAGTAACAATGTCAATGTAGCAACAATGCCAATGTAGTAACAATGCAAATGTAACAACAATGCCAATGTAGTAACAATGCCAATGTAGTAACAATGCCAATGTAGCAGCAATACCAATGTAGCAGCAATGCCAATGCAGCAACAATGCCAATGTAGTAACAATGCCAATGTAGCAACAATGCCAATGCAGCAACAATGTCAATGTAGTAACAATGCCAATGTAGCAACAATGCCAATGCAGCAACAATGTCAATGTAGTAACAATGCCAATGCAGCAGCAATGCCAAAGTAGTAACAATGCCAATGTAGTAACAATGCCAATGTAGTAACAATGCCAATGTAGTAACAATGCCAATGTAGCAGCAATACCAATGTAGTAACAATGCCAATGTAGTAACAATGCCAATGTAGCAACAATGCCAATGTAGTAACAATGTCAATGCAGCAACAACAATGTCAATGCAGCAACAATGCCAATGTAGTAACAATGTCAATGTAGCAGCAATGTCAATGCAGCAACAATACCAATGTAGCAACAATGCCAATGTAGCAACAATGCCAATGTAGCAACAATGCCAATGTAGCAACAATGCAGCAACAATGTCAATGTAGCAACAATACCAATATAGCAACAATGCCAATGTAACAACAATGCCAATGTAGCAACAATGCCAATGCACTAACAATGCCAATGCAGCAACAATGCCAATGTAGCAACAATGTCAATGTAGCAGCAATGCCAATGTAGCAACAATGCAAATGTAGCAGCAATGTCAATGTAGCAACAATGCCAATGTAGCAACAATGTCAATGTAGCAACAATGCCAATACAACAATAATGTCAATGTAGCAACAATGCCAATGTAGCAACAATACCAATGTAGCAAGAATGTCAATGTAGCAACAATGTCAATGTAGCAACAACAATACCAATGTAGCAGCAATGCCAATGTAGCAACAATGTCAATGTAGCAACAATGCCAATGTAGCAGCAATGTCAATGTAGCAACAATGCCAATGTAGCAGCAATGCCAATGTAGTAACAATGTCAATGTAGCAACAGACTAGTACCTGGCAGATATTATGGAACAACCATAAAGCATTTGAGGTTTTACCTGGTTAATAACATCTTTCCAATGATTGCTCAATTTGTACCCATCTTCTCGGTTGACGTTGCGTCTATGTTTATATATCTGGATGGCTTCATGAACAAGCCTTTGATAGTATCACGAAGGTTTGCAATGGTACTTTCTACAAGCAAAATGAAGGTGCCCCAATGGGTCCGCCCTTATCACCAGCGATAGCGAAAGTTTTCATGGAGAAATTTGAAACGGATGCCATCCAGACATCCACCCTACATCTTTCCCCGTCGAAGAGATACGTGGATGACACTTTCGTAAATTTGGCCACGTGGCCTGCCAGCATTGAACCAATTTCTCAACCACATCAATTCCATTACACCCACCCATCAAATTCACCAAGGAAGTGGAGAAGGATGGTAAGCTACCATTCCTGGTAGTTTTGTTTGAGATGAGGCCTGACGGCTCGTTGGGACACTCTGTCTACAGGAAAGCCACCCGCACGGATTCCTATCTGAAACCGGATTCCCACCACCATCAGGGCACAGAAGAATTCCCTCATCAAAACACTACACAATAGGGCCCACTGCATTTCCGACCAACACCACCTAGCCAGCGATCTGGATACACGTACACCAGGCCCTCAAGATGAATGGGTACTCGGACCGCATTATTCGCAAAGCGGTTTCTCCAACCATGGAGAAACAGCCCCCTGAGACGCCGAACAGAACCATCACGTGACCATGCATAGCAGGCGTTACCAAAAGGATTTCCAAGATCATAAACAAACGCAAGATCCAGGTCCGATTCAATACAGGACGCAAAATCCGTGAGTTGTACCTGCGGTGGCGGTTAGATTGGGGAAACGGAGCGACGTGTCTCGGACCGCGTTCGCGAACACAAGTCATGTCTGAAACACGGCAGAACCAATACCTCTGCCGTGGCTGACCATTGCTATAACGCCGCCGGCTCGAATGACTACGTGGACTTTTCTTCTTTGGTTCTGTCGGTAAAGTCACGGAGAATGAGAATAAAATGATAAAATAAAATAAGACAATAAAATTCTCACGACGTTTCGGCCACAACACAAGTGGCCTTCTTCAGGTGAAAGGAACAAACCTGTCGGGACGACAGAGCTTCAATGAACGCCGCTAAGATTCGCAGCGTCTTTTAAGCTGGTTGAGAGAAGTGAGGCACCTTGACAAAGGGGTTTACATATCAAACAGGAGAATTTAGCATTGAAATAGCTGAGTGATTAGCTTGTGACTGGTCACAGAAATGGCTATGTTAAAGTCATAGCCTACACATCCACAGGGGCACCTAGTACAAATCAAACAGGAGAATTTAGCATTGAAATAGCTGAGTGATTAGCTTGTGACTGGTCACAGAAATGGCTATGTTAAAGTCAAAGCCTACACATCCACAGGGGCACCTAGTACATATCAAACAGGAGAATTTAGCATTGAAATAACTGAAGGATTAGCTTGTGACTGGTTACAGAAATAGCTACGTTAAAGTCAAAGCCTACACAATAGGCTTTGATTTTACCAAAAGAACCAAAGAGTATGGATTCCTGCAGTCACGAAAGCTTCAAATGAAGATTGGTAGATGTTTGTTGTTGGTTGTTACTGTTTGTTGTTGTTGGTTGGTTGGTGTTGTTGTTGTTTTTAACACGTCCCGACCTCGCGCTCGCTCCTCCAGGGGCTTAGAGGCCAACTACTGCCGCAACCCGGACGGGGAGAAGCTGCCCTGGTGCTACACGGCGGACCCGGAACGTCGCTGGGAGTACTGCAACGTGCCCTCGTGTGCCGGTGGGACCACTGGTGAGATACACTCACACACACATAGATACTCACACATACAGAGATATACACACAGAGATACTCACACACACACATACAGAGATACTCACACACACAGAAATACTCACACACACAGAGAGACACTCACACACACACACAGAGATACTCACACACACAGAGATACTCACACTCACACACACAGAGATACACACACACACACAGATACTCACACATACACATACAGAGATACTCACACACACAGAGATACTCACACACACATACATACAGAGATACTCACACACACAGAGATACTCACACACACAGAGATACTCACACACAGAGATACTCACACACACACATACAGAGATACTCACACACACAGAGATACACACACACACACAGATACTCACACTCACACACAGAGATACTCACACACACATACAGAGATACTCACACACACACAGATACACACACAGAGATACTCACACACACAGAGATACTCACACACACAGATAGACACTCACACACACAGAGAGACACTCACACACACAGAGATACTTACACACACAGAGATACTCACACACACATACAGAGATACTCACACACACAGAGATACTCACACACACACACACGTAAATACTTACACACACAGAGATACTCACACTCACACACACACAGAGATACTCACACACACAGAGATACTCACACTCACACACACAGAGATACTCACACTCACACAGAGATACTCACACACACAGAGAGATACTCACACACAGAGACATACTCACACTCACACACACACAGATACTCACACACACACAGATACTCACACACACAGAGATACTCACACACACAGAGATACTCACACACACACAGATACTCACACACAGAGATACTCACACACACACAGATACTCACACACACACACAGATACTCACACACACACAGAGATACTCACACACAGAGATACACACACAGAGATACACACACAGAGATGTGAACTACCTCGCCTGGTCCGCGGGAGGTCGTGGCTTCTACGTCGAGATGTTAACTACCTCGCCTGATCCGCGGGAGGTCGTGGGTTCCATGTTTAGTTAACTACCTCGCCTGGTACGCGGGAGGTCGTGGCTTCGATGTCGAGATGTTAACTACCTCGCCTGGTACGCAGGAGGTCGTGGGTTCGATGTCGAGGTGTTAACTACCTCGCCTGGTACGCAGGAGGTCGTGGGTTCGATGTCGAGGTGTTAACTACCTCGCCTGGTACGCAGGAGCTCGTGGGTTCTACGTCGAGATGTTATCTACCTCGCCTGATCCGCGGGAGCTCGTGGGTTCGATGTCGAGATGTTAACAACCTCGCCTGGTCCGCGGGAGGTCGTGGGTTCAATGTCGAGGTGTTAACTACCTCGCCTGGTACGCAGGAGGTCGTGGGTTCAGTGTCGAGATGTTAACAACCTCGCCTGATCCGCGGGAGCTCGTGGGTTCGATGTCGAGGTGTTAACAACCTCGCCTGGTCCGCGGGAGGTCGTGGGTTCAATGTCGAGGTGTTAACTACCTCGCCTGGTACGCAGGAGGTCGTGGGTTCAATGTCGAGGTGTTAACTACCTCGCCTGATCCGCAGGAGCTCGTGGCTTCGACGTCGTGATGTTAACTACCTCGCCTGGTACGCAGGAGGTCGTGGGTTCGATGTCGAGGTGTTAACTACCTCGCCTGATCCGCGGGAGGTCGTGGGTTCGATGTTGAGATGTTAACTACCTCGCCTGGTCCGCGGGAGCTCGTGGCTTCGATGTTGAGATGTTAACTACCTCGCCTGGTCCGCGGGAGCTCGTGGCTTCTCCGTCGAGATGTTAACTACCTCGCCTGGTCCGCGGGAGCTCGTGGCTTCTCCGTCGAGATGTTAACTACCTCGCCTGATCGGTTGGGAGCCCGTGGCTTCTTCATCGAGTTGTTAACTACCTCGCCTGATACGCAGGAGCTTGTGGGTTCTATATCGAGGTGTTAACTACCTCGCCTGGTACGCAGGAGTTCGTGGCTTCTACGTCAAGATGTGAACTACCTCGCCTGGTACGCGGGAGGTCGTGGCTTCTACATCGAGGTGCTAACTACCTCGCCTTGTACGCGGGGAGCCCGTGGCTTCTACGTCGTGGTGCTAACAACTTTTTGCGAGCGCAGGCAGCTGCTACCACTGCATCGGCGAGGATTACCGTGGCACGGTGGCCAAGACCGAGACGGGCAAAGACTGCCAACGCTGGGATGAGCAGACCCCGCACAGGCACACCTTCAGCCCGCAGAGGTGCCGATTCGTTCCGGCAGATGTTGGCGATTCCGGACTCGCCGGTCAATTTATTTTGCCCGTGAGGTTCCATTTGTTCACCGCGTGATGTGATTGTGGGAACGTGCCGGTGGAGCGTTGCCACGGGACGCCATCGAAATGTCGAGCCGCCCTGGATGTTCCAGTTTCTAAGGGATGAGGAAATTCGAAGGAACGAATATGCTTCCAACGTGGATTTATTCGGATTTTTGTTTTTAATTGATGATGGAACGATCAAGCATTGAGCAATTGTTAAGTTAAGGAAATTCAGTGGGTGTGTCATTGTGTGTGTGTGTCACTGTGTGTGTGTGTCACTGTGTGTGTGTCACTGTGTGTGTGTGTCACTGTGTGTGTGTCACTGTGTGTGTGTGTGTCACTGTGTGTGTGTCATTGTGTGAGTGTGTCACTGTGTGTGTCACTGTTTGTGTGTGTCACTGTGTGTCACTGTGTGTGTGTCACTGTGTTTGTGTGAGTGTCACTATGTGTGTGTGTCACTGTGTGTGTGTCACTGTGTGTGTGTGTGTCACTGTGTGTGTGTCACTGTGTGTGTCACTGTGTGTGTGTGTCACTGTGTGTGTCACTGTGTGTGTGTGTCACTGTGTGTGTGTGTCACTGTGTGTCACTGTGTGTGTGTCACTGTGTGTGTGTGTCACTGTGTGTGTGTGTGTCACTGTGTGTGTCACTGTGTGTGTGTCATTGTGTGTGTGTGTGTCACTGTGTGTGTGTCACTGTGTGTGTCACTGTGTGTGTGTCACTGTGTGTGTGTGTCACTGTGTGTGTCTCACTGTGTGTGTCACTGTGTGTCACTGTGTGTGTGTCACTGTGTGTGTGTGTGTCACTGTGTGTGTGTCACTGTGTGTGTGTCACTGTGTGTGTCACTGAGTGTGTGTGTCACTGTGTGTGTCACTGTGTGTGTGTGTGTCACTGTGTGTGTGTCACTGTGTGTGTGTCACTGTGTGTGTGTCACTGTGTGTGTCACTGTGTGTGTGTGTCACTGTGTGTGTCACTGTGTGTGTGTGTCACTGTGTGTGTCACTGTGTGTGTCACTGTGTGTGTGTCACTGTGTGTGTCACTGTGTGTGTCACTGTGTGTGTGTCACTGTGTGTGTGTGTCACTGTGTGTGTCACTGTGTGTGTCACTGTGTGTCACTGTGTGTCACTGTGTGTGTGTCACTGTGTGTGTCACTGTGTGTGTGTGTCACTGTGTGTGTGTGTCACTGTGTGTGTCACTGTGTGTGTGTGTCACTGTGTGTGTCACTGTGTGTGTGTGTCACTGTGTGTGTCACTGTGTGTGTGTGTGTCACTGTGTGTGTCACTGTGTGTGTGTGTCACTGTGTGTGTGTGTGTCACTGTGTGTGTCACTGTGTGTGTGTGTCACTGTGTGTGTCACTGTGTGTGTGTGTGTGTCACTGTGTGTGTCACTGTGTGTGTGTGTCACTGTGTGTGTGTGTCACTCTGTGTGTCACTGTGTGTGTGTGTCACTGTGTGTGTCACTGTGTGTGTGTGTCACTGTGTGTGTCACTGTGTGTGTGTGTGTGTCACTGTGTGTGTGTCACTGTGTGTGTGTGTGTCACTGTGTGTGTGTCACTGTGTGTGTCACTGTGTGTGTGTGTCACTGTGTGTGTCACTGTGTGTGTGTGTCACTGTGTGTGTGTGTCACTGTGTGTCACTGTGTGTGTGTCACTGTGTGTGTGTGTCACTGTGTGTGTGTGTGTCACTGTGTGTGTCACTGTGTGTGTCACTGTGTGTGTCACTGTGTGTGTGTGTCACTGTGTGTGTGTGTGTCACTATGTGTGTGTGTCACTGTGTGTGTGTCACTGTGTGTGTCACTATGTGTGTGTGTCACTGTGTGTGTGTCACTGTGTGTGTGTGTGTGTCACTGTGTGTGTGTGTGTGTCACTGTGTGTGTGTGTCACTGTGTGTGTGTCACTGTGTGTGTCACTGTGTGTGTGTCACTGTGTGTGTGTCACTGTGTGTGTGTGTCACTGTGTGTGTGTGTCACTGTGTGTGTGTCACTGTGTGTGTCACTGTGTGTGTGTGTCACTGTGTGTGTGTGTCACTGTGTGTGTGTCACTGTGTGTGTCACTGTGTGTGTGTCACTGTGTGTGTGTGTCACTGTGTGTGTGTGTCACTGTGTGTGTCACTGTGTGTGTGTGTCACTGTGTGTGTCACTGTGTGTGTGTGTCACTGTGTGTGTGTGTCACTGTGTGTGTCACTGTGTGTGTGTGTCACTGTGTGTGTGTGTGTGTCACTGTGTGTGTGTGTCACTGTGTGTGTGTGTCACTGTGTGTGTGTCACTGTGTGTGTGTGTCACTGTGTGTGTGTGTCACTGTGTGTGTGTGTGTCACTGTGTGTCACTGTGTGTGTGTGTCACTGTGTGTGTGTGTGTCACTGTGTGTGTCACTGTGTGTGTGTGTCACTGTGTGTGTGTGTCACTGTGTGTGTCACTGTGCGTGTGTGTGTCACTGTGTGTGTGTCACTGTGTGTGTGTGTGTCACTGTGTGTCACTGTGTGTGTGTGTCACTGTGTGTGTGTGTGTGTGTCACTGTGTGTGTCACTGTGTGTGTGTGTCACTGTGTGTGTGTCACTGTGTGTGTCACTGTGTGTGTGTGTCACTGTGTGTGTGTGTCACTGTGTGTGTCACTGTGTGTGTCACTGTGTGTGTGTGTGTCACTGTGTGTGTCACTGTGTGTGTCACTGTGTGTGTGTGTGTCACTGTGTGTGTGTGTCACTGTGTGTGTGTCACTGTGTGTGTCACTGTGTGTGTGTGTCACTGTGTGTGTCACTGTGTGTGTCACTGTGTGTGTGTGTCACTGTGTGTGTGTGTCACTGTGTGTGTCACTGTGTGTGTGTGTCACTGTGTGTGTCACTGTGTGTGTCACTGTGTGTGTGTCACTGTGTGTGTGTCACTGTGTGTGTGTGTCACTGTGTGTGTGTCACTGTGTGTGTCACTGTGTGTGTCACTGTGTGTGTGTGTCACTGTGTGTGTGTGTGTGTCACTGTGTGTGTCACTGTGTGTGTGTGTGTGTGTCACTGTGTGTGTCACTGTGTGTGTGTGTGTGTCACTGTGTGTGTCACTGTGTGTGTGTGTGTGTGTCACTGTGTGTGTGTGTGTGTGTCACTATGTGTGTGTGTGTCACTGTGTGTGTGTGTCACTATGTGTGTGTGTGTCACTGTGTGCGTGTTGCCCGCTTGACCCCAGCTTCGCAGGGAGCGACCTGGCCAACAACTTCTGCCGCAACCCCAACAAGGAGTCTCGCCCCTGGTGCTTCACCACGGACGCCGCGCAGCGCTGGGAGCACTGCGCTCTCTCCAAGTGCGGTGAGACGTCCCCGCGGCGACGGTGACGTCACGGCCGCCGTAGTGGTCACGGTGACGTCACGGTCGTAAGGGTGACGGTGACGTCACGGCCGCCGTAGTGGTGACGGTGACGTCATGGTCGTAGTGGTGACGGTGAGGTCACGGTCGTAGTGGTGACGGTGAGGTCACGGTCTCCGCGGTGACGGTGACGTCAGGGCCGTAGTGGTGACGGTGACGTCACGTTCGTAGTGGTGACGGTGACGTCACGGTCGTAGTGGTGACGGTGACGTCATGGTCGTAGTGGTGACGGTGACGTCAGGGCCGTAGTGGTGACGGTGACGTCACGGTCGTAGTGGTGACGGTGACGTCAGGGCCTTAGTGGTGACGGTGACGTCACGGTCGTCATAGCTGCGGCGACGGTGACGTCACGGTCATAGTAGGCGTCATGGTCATCATAGCCGTGGCGACGGTGACATCACAGTCGTAGTGGGAGTCACGGTCGCCATCGCCGCGGCGACGGTGACGTCACAGTCGTATTGGATGATTCCCCCCACATGGCCAACACGGGGGGTGACGATTCTCTGAACCGGTCCCTGGGGCCTCCCCTAGGTCGACTCAGCCTCAAGTGAGTAGCTGCTGTAGCGGTGTAGCGGTGTAGCGGTGTAGTGAACACCGCCAGCACTGGGGGAGACAAAGGCGGCCGGGGCGCGGTGCTGCCGGCCACCCACCCCCCCTCGTGTGCCACAGTGCCGGCGGCCTTCAGCTGCTGCTGCTGCTGCTGCTCGTAACTAGCGGCACTTGCCCCCTACAGTCCGCGGCAGGCTACACGGGGGATCTTTGTCTTTGTGGACGCTGATCTTCATTCGCGCCGTACGTAGCCGACCAGGCTACTCGGTGGCGCGAGGGCAAGGACAGCAAACGACGACGACGATGACGACGATGACGACGAGGACGACGATGACGACGACGATGACGACGATGACGACGACGACGATGACGATGACGACGACGATGACGATGACGACGATGACGACGACGACGATGACGACGACGAGGACGACGATGACGACGACGACGATGACGATGACGACGACGATGACGACGACGATGACGACGATGACGATGACGACGATGACGACGACGACGATGACGACGACGAGGACGACGATGACGACGACGATGACGACGACGACGACGACGATGACGACGATGACGACGACGACGACGATGACGACGACGACGACGACGATGACGACGACGACGATTTCAAAGTGCGGCGTAGCTCCCAGCGGCTTCCTAACGCCGGGCGGACAGAACGTTCCAGACGGGCCCAAAGCGCCGCGCGACGATGCCGTTGACCGCCGTGTTCCATGGCCGGGCCAAACGAAAGCTGCCGCCGCCGCCGCCGCCGCCGCCGCCGCCGGCGATGACGGCGACCTGATTGGCGGTCCAGCGGGGTCGGCGTGGCCGGCGGCCGATAGCTCGTCGGTGAGGAGGGAACGGCGGCGGTGGCGCCAGAAGAGTCGCGGGCGGGCGGGCGGCTTCCCGGGCGAGCGGCCGTGGGGAGGCCTTCGACCGACTGGCCGCTGTCTCTGCTGCAGGCCAATCAGCCTCAAAGACAATGCCGTAGAACATTCTAATTACATTGTTATTAAAGACAATGCACACATAAGTAACATAAGTAAAAGTATAATATTATTATACTGTTCTACTGACGCTGCCGGTGAGGCTGGGCCCTAGAGAAGGCCGCTGTCTCTGCTGTAGGCCAATAAGCCTCAAAGACAATGCCGTAGAACATTCTAATTACATTGTTATTAAAGACAATGCATACATAAGTAACATAAGTAACAGTGTAATATTATAATATTATTATTATACTGTTCTACTGACGCTGCCTGTGAGGCTGGGCCCTAGAGAAGGCCGCTGTCTCTGCTGCAGGCCAATCAGCTTCAAAGACAATGCCGTAGAACATTCTAATTACATTGTTACTAAAGACAATGCACACATAAGTAACAGTATAATATTATAATAATATTATTATACTGTTCTACTGACGCTGCCGGTGAGGCTGGGCCCTAGAGAAGGCCGCTGTCTCTGCTGCAGGCCAATCAGCTTCAAAGACAAAGCCGTAGAACGTTCTGATTGCGTCCGCCAGCGGCAGCCGCCGCTGGCGGACGCGGCGAGTGGAGTCGGCGCGGTCGGAGGCCGCTTTCCCGGGCGAGCGACGGAGCGCTGCTCAATCGACGGGCTCACCCGAAGCAACCGCCTCTGCCAGCGAGAGGGCGGCCGACCGCCCGAGTTTGGCCGCTCGCCCGTTGACGAGATCCGTTCGGCGAGGCGGCGCTCCGAGCGCCTCCGCCGGCGCTCCGAGCGCCTCCGTGCTCGACGAGGAGCGACGAGGGCTGGAAGAGCGACGAGGGCTGGAGGAGCGACGACTTCCGCCCTGTCTCCCGCCAAACGCAGAGGGCGAGCCGCCGGAGAACGCCGCGCCGGAGCTGACCACGTCGTGCGTGAAGGGCACGGGGGAAGGGTACCGGGGCACCGTGGCGATCACCGTCTCGGGCAAGGCGTGCCAGGCCTGGGCCTCGCAGACTCCGCACTCACACACCCGCACGCCTGACGTCTACAGCTGCCAGTGAGTCGGGGCACTCCCTCGCCTCCCATCCCTCGCTCTCTACTCCCTCCCTCTCTCTACTCCCTCCCTCCACCCCCCCCCCCCCCTCTCTCTCTCTTCCCCCCTCCCTCCCCTCCTTCCCGCCCTCCTTCCCTCTATCCCCCCCCCTCCTTCTATCCCCCCCTCCCTCTCTTCCCTCTCTCCCCCCCTCCCTCCCCCCTCCCCCTCCCCCCCTCCCTCTCCCCCCCCTCCCTCTCCCCCCCCCTCCCTCTCTCCCGCCCCTCCCTCCCCCCCCCTCCCTCCCTCCCCCCCCTCTCTCTCTCTCTTCCCCCCTCCCCCCCCCTCTCCCCCCCCCCTCCCTCTCTCCCCCCCACCTCCCTCCCCCCCTCCCTCTCCCCCCCCCACCTCCCTCCCCCCCTCCCTCTCCCTCCCCCACCTCCCTCCCCCCCCTCCCCCACCTCCCTCCCCCCCCCTCCCTCTCCCTCCCCCACCTCCCTCCCCCCCCCTCCCTCCCCCCCCTCCCTCTCCCCCCCCCACCTCCCTTGCCTTCCTCCGTCCCTCCCTCCCCTCTCCCGCACCGCGCTCAGAACCCAGAATCACAATGTGTCGCATTTAGACTCCGCGTTGGGAGCCCATGGATCTCTTCCGTCACCGGTCCACGTTTGCTGAACTTCTTTCGCACCGTACGGAGCTGCCAGCAGGGCTGGCGGGGGTGGGGGGTAGGGGGGTTACAATGTCCAATCGGGGCAGATCAGAACGTCACACAACAACACAACAACACAAACAACAACAACACAAACAACAACAACACAAACAACAACAACAACACAAACAACAACAACACAAACAACAACAACACAAACAACAACAACACAAACAACAACAACAACAACCACGCCGCCAAAGTTTAGATTCCCACTCCGCGGCCGTCGCCACGAACGCTGTCCTCCCCTAGGTCGGCTCGGCCTCAAATGGGTAACGGACATCGACACAATCGGGGGAGGGGGGGACCGGGGCGGGGATACAAAGGCGGCCGGGCGTGGTGGTGCTGGCCCAACCCCCCCCCCCCCCCTCCCGACCCCCGCGTGCCACAGTGCCGGCATGCTCCATGACTGCTCGCTCTAACAGCATTTGCCCACAAAAGTCTTCGTGTACGTGCGACTTGGGCCTACCCTGAGTACCCCCCCCCCCCACCCACCGCAGTGCGATGTGTAGCAAACATCGCCACCGGTTGGGGGGGGTTTGGGGGGGGGGGGTGGCTGCTCGCTCACGTCACCGGCACCGGGAGTCTGGGGCGGTGGGCGGCGGGCGCCAGCGGGTAAGCTCGCACCCGTTCCTGTCCCGCTCGGCGCACAAAAAAAAACAGGGGCCTGGTGAGCAACTACTGCCGCAACCCGGACGGCGAGAAGCTGCCCTGGTGCTACACCGCGGACCCCGAGCAGCGCTGGGAGTACTGCGACGTGCCCTCGTGCGGCACCGGCGGAGCCGCCGGAGCCGCCGGAGCCGCCGGTGTCGCCGATTCCCAGGCGGGGACGGCTCAAGTTGCGCAGCCTCCGCAAGTTTCACCGGAGGCCGGTGGGTGCGCCTGGGGCGGCACACGGCGAAACCTCGGCATGGGGCGGGGCGGTGGGGTTGCGGTGAACGGATGCATTGGTAGCGGTGGAGGGAGGCTTCCACGTTGCGACGGAGGGGAAGAGACCCATGGGGATGGGAGTTTGTGCGCCCGGGCCTTGCTTGCGAGTTCGGCGGCGGGACGTTGTCGTGTCGAGACGTTCAGACGCCAACGTGGATGGGTGACGACCTTTGCGAGGAATCAAGTTTGCCGCGTTGACTACACGCGCACACACACGCACGCGCGCTATACCACGTGTCTGTGACACTGATTGGCCCACACCACAGACAGCGGCGGCCTCCTTCGTGGCCCAGCCTCATCGACAGCGTCAGTAGAACAGTATAATATTATTACACCGTTACTTATGTTACTTATGTGTGCATTGTCTTTAGTAACAATGTAATCAGAATGTTCTACGGCATTGTCTTTGAGGCTGATTGGCCTGCAGCAGGGACAGCGGCCTTCTCTAGGGTCCAGCCTCACCGGCAGTGTCAGTAGAACAGTATGATAATAATATTATTATAATATTATACTGTTACTTATGTGTGCATTGTCTTTAGTAACAATGTAATTAGAATGTTCTACGGCATTGTCTTTGAAGCTGATTTGCCTGCAGCAGAGACAGCGGCCTTCTCTAGGCTCCAGCCTCATCGGCAGTGTCAGTAGAACAGTATAATAATATTATTATAATATTATTATACTGTTACTTATGTTACTTATGTGTGCATTGTCTTTAATAACAATGTAATTAGAATGTTCTACGGCATTGTCTTTGAGGCGTATTGGCCTACACCAGAGACAGCGGCCTTCTCTAGGCCCCAGCCTCACCGGCAGTGTCAGTAGAACAGTATAATAATAATATTATAATATTACTTATGTTACTTATGTGTGCATTGTCTTTAATAACAATGTAATTAGAATGTTCTACGGCATTGTCTTTGAAGCTGATTGGCCTACAGCGGAGACAGCGGCCTTCTCTAGGGCCCAGCCTCACCGGCAGCGTCAGTAGACCAGTATAATAATAATATTATTATAATAATATTATTATACTGTTACTTATGTTACTTATGTGTGCATTGTCTTTAACAACAATGTTATTACAATGTTCTATGGCATTGTCTTTGAGGCGTATTGGCCTACAGCAGAGACAGCGGCCTTCTCTAGGCCCCAGCCTCACCGGCAGTGTCAGTAGACCAGAGAACGACGCCTTAAGGTGACCAGCACAAGGGCAATGCCACCGCGCGTATCGGGGCACTCCGTAGCCCGGCGGTGAGCAGCAGATACGATCTTGATTTGAAGTTTTCGTGACTGCAGGGATGCGTGCTCTTGGGTTCTTTCGTTAAAGTCCCGTAGTAGGTATCAAAATAAAGTTAATTAGATCACGACATTTCGATCGTCATCAGGTGGGAAACCCACAGCAAGGATTGTTTTATGAATCAACGGTAGAACCTTGGAGATCGATTACGCCCCAGGACGAGGAACAATTCGGCGATCGAACCAAAAAAATTACGAACCAATTTTTTGTTTGTGCCCCGGACATCGGACAAACATTCGGAGGTCGGGCAGCTGGAAGGAAGCTGCTTGGGCCGAGACGCGTAGCCATGGCAACGGGGACACGTAACCATGGCGACCGAGATGCGTAGCCATGGCGACCGAGACTCGTAACCAGGGCGACCGAGACGCGCGGCTCTCGCCCAGTGGCAGACCCGCCAAAATAAAACATCGTTCTGTTAACTTTGTCCTCACCACCTTCCACTACAGGTAAAAGTGAAGTTTCAATGTTCATTCATTCTATTATTTATAACTGCGTTTCTTGTCTGTTGTATGCTTTTATGTACTGCTCTGTATTTTTTTGATATTGTAAACTTTTGTGTAAAAATGGCCCATAATAGGAGCGTCCTTGGGTGGGGAACCAACTAATGCTATTTCCATTCACTCTTACGGGGAAAATTGATTCGGTGTTCGAACAAATCGGTGTCCGAACACGGTTTTGGAACGAATTAAGTTCTATCTGCGAGGTACCACCGTGTATACCAACGTGACCCTACCGAAAAAAAGCAAAGAGCAGCTACTGTACGTCTTGTGGGAGTGTCAAAGTACCGAAGAAATAAGAATAGCTTTTACCCTTTCGAGCGATGCAACTTCAGACGTTCAAACACCGACATGGATGAGGCCTTTGGCAAGGAATTTCAGTTGGTGCGTTAAACCGCAGACACTCGCGCTCACACGCCTTGTGTGCTGATCATGAATCGATGATCATGAATCGATGCGTCGTCTGTGACACTGATTGGCGCACACACCGGTGACATCAGCAGCACCCTCCCTGGCCCAGTCTCACGAGCAGTGTCGGACCAGAGGACGACGCCAAAAGGCCCCAAATTTACGTCCACGCTTTAGGCCCAATATATGGCGTCGTTTGCACGTGGGTCTTCCCATTTGAACAAATAGCACATTTGCAAAATGCATCATTCATTCTGTCCCGGATTCATTTGATCCTGTAACAGCTGTTAAAAGATTTAAAGCTTTCGTGACCGCAGTGATTCGTATTCTTAGCTCTTTCGGTAAAGTCACCACGCTGAAGGGAAAACAATAAAATAATAAAATGTATATAAAACAATAAAAAAAATTCTCACGACGTGTCGACCAACACACCTGACGACGACCGTTTGTGTTATGGTCGAAACGTCGTGAGAATTTTTTTTATTGTTTTATATAATTTTTATTACTTTATTGTTTCCCTTCAACGTGACTTTACCGAAAGAGCTAAGCATATATATAGCTGTTAAAAGAGTTTAAAAGGGAGCAGGATGCTTTCACGAACAAAGGCATCCGTAATAGAGGTTTATTGGGGTCAGATCGTGTTAATATATCAATGTTGTGTCGGTAAACCCGCCGCCGCCCGGCACAGCAGGAAGGTTTGTCACGTAAACAGAACAGGTGGTGCCAATTCTTTACCAGTACAGCACTAGGGTATAGTGTAGTGTATAGTGTAGTATACTAGTACAGCACTAGTGTATAGTGTATAGTGTAGTGTATAGTGTGTATAGTGTAGTGTATAGTGTAGTGTATAGTGTAGTGTATAGTGTAGTGTATAGTGTAGTGTATAGTGTAGTGTATAGTGTAGTGTATAGTGTAGTATACTAGTATAGCACTAGTGTATAGTGTAGTGTATAGTGGAGTGTATAGTGTAGTGTACGGTGTAGTGTATAGTGTAGTGTATAGTGTAGTGTATAGTGTAGTATACTAGTACAGCACTAGTGTATAATGTAGTGTATAGTGTAGTGTATGGTGTAGTGTATAGTGTAGTGTATAGTGTAGTGTATAGTGTAGTATACTAGTACAGCACTAGTGTATAGTGTAGTGTATAGTGTAGTGTATAGTGTAGTATATAGTGTAGTGTATAGTGTAGTGTATAGTGTCTAGTGTAGTGTATAGTGTAGTATACTAGTACAGCACTAGTGTATAGTGTAGTGTATAGTGAAGTGTCTAGTGTAGTGTGTAGTGTCTAGTGTAGTGTATAGTGTAGTGTATAGTGTAGTATATAGTGTAGTGTATAGTGTAGTGTCTAGTGTAGTGTATAGTGTAGTATACTAGTACAGCACTAGTGTCTAGTGTAGTGTATAGTGTAGTATACTAGTACAGCACTAGTGTATAGTGTAGTGTCTAGTGTAGTGTCTAGTGTAGTGTCTAGTGAAGTGTCTAGTGTAGTGTGTAGTGTCTAGTGTAGTATGTAGTGTAGTGTATAGTGTAGTGTATAGTGTAGTGTATAGTGTAGTGTCTAGTGTTTTGTATAGTGTAGTATACTAGTACAGCACTAGTGTATAGTGTAGTATCTAGTGTAGTGTCTAGTGAAGTGTCTAGTGTAGTGTCTAGTGTAGTGTGTAGTGTAGTGTATAGTGTAGTGTATAGTGTAGTGTATAATGTAGTGTATAGTGTAGTGTCTAGTGTAGTGTATAGTGAAGTGTCTAGTGTAGTGTGTAGTGTAGTATACTAGTACAACACTAGTGTCTAGTATAGTGTATAGTGTAGTATACTAGTACAGCACTAGTGTATAGTGTAGTGTATAGTGTAGTGTATAGTGTAGTGTATAGTCTAGTGTATAATGTAGTGTCTAGTGTAGTGTATAGTGTAGTATACTAGTACAGCACTAGTGTATAGTGTAGTGTATAGTGTAGTGTATAGTGTAGTATATAGTGTAGTGTATAGTGTAGTATATAGTGTAGTATACTAGTACAGCACTAGTGTATAGTGTAGTGTATAGTGTAGTATACTAGTACAGCACTAGTGTATAGTGTAGTATACTAGTACAGCACTAGTGTATAGTGTAGTGTATAGTGTAGTATATAGTGTAGTATATAGTGTAGTGTATAATGTAGTATACTAGTACAGCACTAGTGTATAGTGTAGTGTATAGTGTAGTGTATAGTGTAGTGTATAGTGTAGTATGCTAGTACAGCACTAGTGTATAGTGTAGTGTATAGTGTAGTATACTAGTACAGCACTAGTGTATAGTGTAGTATACTAGTACAGCACTAGTGTATAGTGTAGTGTATAGTGTAGTATACTAGTACAGCACTAGTGTATAGTGTAGTATACTAGTGCAGCACTAGTGTATAGTGTAGTGTATAGTGTAGTGTATAGTGTAGTATATAGTGTAGTGTATAGTGTAGTATACTAGTACAGCACTAGTGTGCAGTGTAGTGTATAGTGTAGTATACTAGTACAGCACTAGTGTGTAGTGTAGTGCATAGTGTAGTATACTAGTGCAGCACTAGTGTATAGTGTAGTGTACTAGTACAGCACTAGTGTATAGTGTAGTGTAGTGTGTAGTGTAGTGTGTAGTGTGGTGTGTAGTATAGTGTATAGTGTAGTATACTAGTACAGCACTAGTGTAGTGTGTAGTGTATAGTGTAGTGTACTAGTACAGCGCTAGTGTATAGTGTAGTGTATAGTGTAGTGTATAGTAGTGTATAGTGTAGTGTATAGTGTAGTGTATAGTGTAGTATATAGTAGTGTATAGTGTATAGTGTAGTGTATAGTGTAGTGTATAGTGTAGTGTATAGTAGTGTATAGTGTAGTGTATAGTGTAGTATACTAGTACAGCAGTACTTTGTAGTGTATTGTGTAGTTTACCGGTACAGCACTAGTGTAGTGTGTAGTGTATAGTGTAGTGTACTAGTACAGCACTAGTGTATAGTGTAGTGTGTAGTGTATAGTAGTGTATAGTGTAGTGTATAGTGTAGTGTATAGTGTAGTGTATAGTAGTGTGTAGTGTATAGTGTAGTGTATAGTGTAGTGTATAGTAGTGTATAGTGTAGTGTATAGTGTAGTATACTAGTACAGCACTACTTTGTAGTGTATTGTGTAGTTTACTGGTACAGCACTAGTGTAGTGTGTAGTGTAGTGTATAGTGTATAGTGTAGTGTATAGTGTAGTGTATAGTGCAGTGTATAGTGTAGTGTATAGTGTAGTGTATAGTAGTGTATAGTGTAGTGTATAGTAGTGTATAGTAGTGTATAGTGTAGTATACTAGTACAGCACTACTTTGTAGTGTATTGTGTAGTTTACTGGTACAGCACTAGTGTAGTGTGTAGTGTATAGTGTAGTGTACTAGTACAGCACTAGTGTATAGTGTAGTGTGTAGTGTGTAGTGTAGTGTGTAGTGTATAGTGTAGTGTATAGTAGTGTATAGTGTAGTGTATAGTGTAGTGTATAGTGTAGTGTATAGTGTAGTGTATAGTAGTGTATAGTGTAGTGTATAGTGTAGTATACTGGTAGAGCACTACTTTGTAGTGTATTGTGTAGTTTACTGGTACAGCACTAACCGGTTGTGTGCCGGAGAGCAAATCCACAACAGTTACAATCACATCGCGACGTTTCGCCAGTGACGGCAACCGGCATCATCAGGCGACAGACAGATTTGTGACAGCATGAATGTAATCATCGACAGAATGAATGATGCAAAGTCGTGATAATTATGTTAATGCACACGGAGGCCAATCAGCGTCAAGGGGCGGGCCTAATTTGGGCATTTGGATCCATACAGATGGTCGTGGGCTCCACCACCACCATCATCATCACGGTGGCTCAGAGATCTTAACTACCTCGCCTGGTGTACAGGAGATCGTGGGTTCCACCACCATCATCATCACGGTGGCTAGGAGATGTTGACTACCTCGCCTGGTCTACAGGAGGTCGTGGGTTCCACCACCATCATCACCACGGTGGCTAGGAGATGTTGACTACCTCGCCTGGTGTACAGGAGGTCGTGGTTTCGATCCGGACCCTGACGACGCCTGCTGCCGCTATATATTTCTAGTCCGCGTCTCTCTCTCATCATCATCATCATCATCCCCCCCCCCCCCCCACGCTGTGCGTCTCTCTGCCCGCCCAGACTGCTTCACGGGCCTGGGGCTGGACTACCGCGGCACTGCCTCGGTCACCCGCTCGGGCCTCCGCTGCCAGGCCTGGGAGTCGGACGAGCCCCACAAGGTGCGGATGCACACGCCAGAGATGCACCCGGACGCGGGACTCAGCGGGAAGGTGAGCGGCGGTGTGAGGGGTGGACACTCGTGGCAAGCACCCCCCGGGGCGAGCAACCAGAGCTCAACCAGCAACCAACCACACTCAACCAACAACCAACCACACTCAACCAGCAAACCCTCCAAACTCAACCATCAAACCAACCACACTCATCCAGCAACTCCCACACTCAACCAGCAACATCCACACTCAACCAGCAACCCTCCACACTCAACCAGCAACCCTCCACACTCAACCAGCAACCCTCCAGACTCAACCAGCAAACCCTCCACACTCAACCAGCAACTCCCACACTCAACCAGCAAACCCTCCACACTCATACAGCAACTCCCACACTCAACCAGAAAACCCTCCAAACTCAACCATCAAACCAACCACACTCAACCAGCAACATCCACACTCAACCTGCAAAACCCTCCAAACTCAACCATCAAACCCTCCACACTCAACCATCAAACCAACCACACTCAACCATCAAACCCTCCACACTCAACCATCAAACCCTCCACACTCAACCAGCAACTCCCACACTCAACCAGCAAACCCTCCAAACTCAACCATCAAACCCTCCACACTCAACCAGCAACCTCCACACTCAACCAGCAACCTCCACACTCAACCAGCAACTCCCACACTCAACCAGCAAACCCTCCACACTCATCCAGCAACTCCCACACTCAACCAGAAAACCCTCCAAACTCAACCATCAAACCAACCACACTCAACCAGCAACATCCACACTCAACCTGCAAAACCCTCCAAACTCAACCATCAAACCCTCCACACTCAACCATCAAACCAACCACACTCAACCATCAAACCCTCCACACTCAACCATCAAACCCTCCACACTCAACCAGCAACTCCCACACTCAACCAGCAAACCCTCCAAACTCAACCATCAAACCCTCCACACTCAACCAGCAACCTCCACACTCAACCAGCAACCTCCACACTCAACCAGCAACCCTCCAGACTCAAACAACAACTCTTACGCTCAACCAGCAACATCCACACTCAACCAGCAATCCTCCACACTTAACCAGCAACCCTCCACACTCAACCAGCAACTCCCACACTCAACCAGCAACCCACACACTCATCTAGCAACATCCACACTCATCTAGCAACAACCACACTCAACCAGCAACCTCCACCCTCAACCAGCAACTCTTACGCTCAACCAGCAACATCCACACTCAACCAGCAACTCCCCACACTCAACCAGCAACCTCCACACTCAACCAGCAACATCCACACTCAACCAGCAACCTCCACACTCAACCAGCAACATCCACACTCAACCAGCAACCTCCACATTCAACCAGCAACATCCACGCTCAAACAGCAACATCCACACTCAACCAGCAACCCTCCACACTCATCCAGCAACCCTCCACACTCAACCAGCAACTCCCACACTCAACCAGCAACCCTCCAAACTCAACCATCAAACCAACCACACTCAACCAGCAACATCCACACTCAACCAGCAACCCACACACTCAACCAGCAACTCCCACACTCAACCAGCAACCTCCACACTCATCCAGCAACCCGCACACTCAACCAGCAACCCTCCACACTCAACCAGCAACATCCACACTCAACCAGCAACCCTCCACACTCAACCAGCAACATCCACACTCAACCAGCAACCCTCCACAATCAAGCAGCAACCTCCACACTCAACCAGCAACCTCCACACTCAACCAGCAACCCTCCACACTCAACCAGCAACTCTTACGCTCAACCAGCAACTCTTACGCTCAACCAGCAACATCCACACTCAACCGGCAACCCACACACTCAACCAGCAACTCCCACACTCAACCAGCAACATCCACACTCAACCAGCAACATCCACACTCAACCATTACACCCTCCACACTCAACCAGCAACATCCATACTCATCTAGCAACATCCACACTCAACCAGCAACCTCCACACTCAACCAGCAACCTCCACACTCAACCAGCAACCCTCCACACTCAACCAACAACTCTAACGCTCAACCAGCAACATCCACACTCAACCAGCGACATCCACACTCAACCAACAACCTCCACACTCAACCAGCAACATCCACACTCAACCAGCAAAAACCCCACACTCAACCAGCAACATCCACACTCAACCAGCAACATCCACACTCAACCAGCAAAAACCCCACACTCAACCAGCAACTCCCACACTCAACCAGCAACATCCACACTCAACCAGCAACATCCACACTCAACCAGCAACATCCACACTCAACCAGCAACTCCCACACTCAACCAGCAACCTCCACACTCAACCAGCAACCCCCCACACTCAACCAGCAACCCCCCACACTCAACCAGCAACCTCTACACTCAACCAGCAACATCCACACTCAACCATTAAACCCTCCACACTCAACCAGCAAACCCTCCACACTCAACCAGCAACCTCCACACTCAACCAGCAACCTCCACACTCAACCATTAAACCCTCCACACTCAACCAGCAACATCCACACTCATCTAGCAACATCCACACTCAACCAGCAACTCCCCACACTCAACCAGCAACCTCCACACTCAACCAGCAACCCTCCAGACTCAACCAGCAACATCCACACTCAACCAACAACTCTTACGCTCAACCAGCAACCTCCACACTCAACCAGCAACATCCACACTCAACCAGCAACCCACACACTCAACCAGCAACCCCCCACACTCAACCAGCAACATCCACACTCAACCAACAACTCTTACGCTCAACCAGCAACCTCCACACTCAACCAGCAACAACCACACTCAACCAGCAACCCACACACTCAACCAGCAACCCTCCACACTCAACCAGCAACATCCACACTCAACCAGCAACCCCCCACACTCAACCAGCAACCCCCCACACTCAACCAGCAACTCTTACTCTCAACCAGCAACATCCACACTCAACCAGCAACATCCACACTCAACCAGCAACCCTCCACACTCAACCAGCAACCCCCACACTCAACCAGCAACATCCACACTCAACCAGCAACATCCACACTCAACCAGCAACATCCACACTCAACCAGCAACATCCACACTCAACCAGCAACCCCCCACACTCAACCAGCAACTCTTACGCTCAACCAGCAACATCCACACTCAACCAGCAACCCCCCACACTCATCTCGTGTGTGTGTGTGTCTGTGTGTGTGTGTGTCTGTGTGTGTGTCTGTGTGTGTTTGTGTCTGTGTGTGTCTGTGTGTGTGTGTCTGTGTGTGTGTCTGTGTGTGTGTCTGTGTGTGTGTGTGTGTGTCTGTGTGTGTGTGTGTCTGTGTGTGTCTGTGTGTGTGTGTCTGTGTGTGTGTGTCTGTGTGTGTTTGTGTGTCTGTGTGTGTGTCTGCGTGTGTGTGTGTCTGTGTGTGTCTGTGTGTGTGTGTCTATGTGTGTGTGTGTCTGTGTGTGTGTGTCTGTGTGTGTTTGTGTGTCTGTGTGTGTGTCTGCGTGTGTGTGTCTGTGTGTGTGTGTCTGTGTGTCCCCCAGTTCTGCAGAAACCCTGACAAGGATGCGCAAGGCCCCTGGTGCTACACCATGGACCCCCGCAAGCAGTGGGAGCACTGCAACATTCAGCGCTGCCGTGAGCCGAGACACACACACACAGACACACACACACACAGACACACACACAGACACACACAGACACACACACAGACACACACAGACACACACACACAGACACACACACAGACACACACACACAGACACACACACAGACACACACACAGACACACACACACAGACACACACACACACAGACACACACACACGCAGACACACACACAGACACACCCACAGACACACACACAGACACACACACAGACACACACACAGACACACACACACAGACACACACAGACATACACACACAGACACACACACCCATACACACACATACACACACCCATAGACACAGACACACACACACAGACACACACACACACAGCGACACACACCAACAACAACAACCGCCATTCGCCACTAGGTGGCGGTGACGTCACCACGACGCTTGTGCCAGGCCAAGTGCACCTTGAGGCCACGTGAAGTGTCGAACGCCCGCTGGCAGGAGGTCACGGGGCAGACCCAGCAGGTGCCACGGGTCGACTGACTGAGATGACTGAGACGCACGCACGCACACACACACATGTACTCACATGCAGGTACACATACACACGCACAGACGCACACACAGATGTAGATGCCACTGGTTCTTCACCTTCTACAGATGTAGAAGCCACTGGTTCTTCACGTTCTACAGATGTAGATGCCACTGGTTCTTCACGTTCTACAGATGTAGAAGCCACTGGTTCTTCACGTTCTGCAGATGTAGATGCCACTGGTTCTTCACGTTATGCAGATGTAGATGCCACTGGTTCTTCACGTTCTGCAGATGTAGATGCCACTGGTTCTTCACGTTCTACAGATGTAGATGCCACTGGTTCTTCACGTTATACAGATGTAGATGCCACTGGTTCTTCATGTTATGCAGATGTAGATGCCACTGGTTCTTCACATTCTGCAGATGTAGATGCCACTGATTCTTCACGTTCTACAGATGTAGATGCCACTGGTTCTTCACGTTCTGCAGATGTAGATGCCACTGGTTCTTCACGCTCTACAGATGTAGATGCCACTGGTTCTCCACGTTCTACAGATGTAGATGCCACTGGTTCTTCACGTTCTGTAGATGTAGATGCCACTGGTTCTTCACGTTCTGCAGATGTAGATGCCACTGGTTCTTCACGTTTTACATATGTAGATGCCACTGGTTCTTCACGTTCTACAGATGTAGATGCCACTGGTTCTTCACGTTCTACAGATGTAGATGCCACTGGTTCTTCACCTTCTACAGATGTAGATGCCACTGGTTCTTCACGTTCTACAGATGTAGATGCCACTGGTTCTTCACGTTCTACAGATGTAGATGCCACTGGTTCTCCACGTTCTACAGATGTAGATGCCACTGGTTCTTCACGTTCTGTAGATGTAGATGCCACTGGTTCTTCACGGCCTTCACCCCCTCTGTGCGCGCGTGCCCAGCGAGTGGAGAGAAGTGTGGTGTTCAAGTGGAGAAGCCCAAGGTCTGCATGGGGAGGATCGTGGGTGGATGTCCGGCCAAGCCTCACTCGTGGCCCTGGCAGGTGGCCATCCGAAAGAAGCTCTACAGCTTCAGCAGGTGAGCGAGCACACACACACACACACACGCGTGTGTGTGTGTGTGTGCTCGTGTGTGCCTGTGTACGTGTGTACATGTGTTTGTTTTTAGAGTGTGTGCGTGCGTTTGCGTGCGTACGTGTGCGTACCTGTGTGTGTGTATGTATGTGTACGTGTGTGTGTGTGTGTGCGTACGTGTGTGTGTACGTGTGTGTGTGTGTACGTGTGTGTTTACGTGTGCACGTGTGTGTGTACATGTACGTACGTACGTGTGTGTGTACGTGTGAGTGTACGTGTGTGTATGTGTACGTGTGTGTACGTGTGTGTGTATACGTGTGTATGTGTGTGTGTACGTGTACGTTCGTACGTGTGTGTGTGTACGTGCGTGTATGTGTGTGTACGTGTGTATGTGTCTGTACGTGTGTGTGTGTGTGTACGTTTGTGTGTACGTGTGTGTACGTGTGTGTGTACGTGTGCATACGTGTGCACGTGTGTGTGTACATTTACGTACGTACGTGTGTGTACGTGTGTGTGTACGTGTGTGCGTGTGTGCGTGTGCGTGTGTGCGTGTACGTGTGTGTACGTGTGTGTGTGTACGTGTGTTTGTGTGTACGTGTGTGTGTACGTGTGTGCGTGTGTACGTGTGTGTGTGTACGTGTGTGTGTGTATGTGTACGTGTACGTTGGTCATGATGCTGGCACCTGGTCTGGAGTGATTGGAGGGCATGGGCCAGATCAGCTCAATAACAACGGTAGGAGACTGCTAGATTTTTGTGCAGCTCATGGGCTTGTAATTACCAACATGCTGTTCTGGCATCGGTGCATCCACACAACATCATGGATTCATGCTGGGTCCAAGCAAGAACATCTGCTGGACTACATAGTGACGGAACAGCGGATGCGAGCCTATGTCCTTGACACCAGGACCTACCATGGAGCTGATCTGCCCTCTCACCATCGACTAGTCATCTGTAAGATGCGCCTGCCATTCTTCCACTCCGGTGGTGGGTGTACACCCAGGACCCCATTCCAACCTAAAGTAGCCTGGTCTCAGTTATCTGATGAAAGTTGCAAGCGAGAATTTAATCATCGCTTGCGGCTGGGGTTGGCATCGTCCCCCACTCCTGATGTCGAGGGTAAATGGGCGAGGTTTAGGACTGTGACTCATGCAGCTGCAATGGCTGCTTTGGGTACGCGGTCCAGACCTCCCCAGAGACCCTGGCTGACAGAGGAGGTGTTCAGGATAGTTAAGAAAAAGCGACAGGCCCACTGTCATCGAGCGAAGGCTGCTTACCTCAGCCAGCCACTCACCCCCTGTGAGTGGCTGGCTGAGGTGCCATCTGTTGAGGAAGTACTGAAGGTGATCCGGAGTCTGAGACCAGGAAAGGCAGCGGGCAGAGATGATCTACCAAGCGACATGCTGAGGGAGGGTGACGTTTGTGCACAGACTGCCCTATATGACATCATAACAACAGTCTGGACCACTGGACGGGTTCCGCAGGATTTGAAGGATGCCCTGGTGGTCCCCCTTTTTAAGAAGGGGGACCGCACAGACTGTAACAACTACAGGGGCATCTCACTCCTCAGTGTGCCAGGAAAGGACCTGGCAAGGATTATTCAACATCGCCTTGCCAGGCACGCTGAGGTGAGGCTTGCGGAGCCCCAATGCGGTTTCAGGAAAGGGCGGTCCTGCACAGATGCCATATTTTCTGTCCGTCTGCTACAGCAGAGGTTTAGGGAATTCCAGCAAGACCTACATCTCTGCTTTATTGACCTGGTCAAGGCCTATGATACCATCAGTAGGCCTGAGCTCTGGGTTGTTCTTCGTGCTTTTGGAGTCCCTGACCCTCTGCTCACGATCATTAAGGACCTTCATGATGGTGAGCGGGCCCGGGTAAAACTACATGGCCGGGAGTCAGAGCCACACATTATTTAACATTATTTAACATCTATTTTGACCACGTAGTTCGTTAAGCATTCAATAGCTGTACCGAGGGAATCTCTATATGGTACAGATATAGTTGGAGGCTGATCGATGCCCGGGTGCGGTCAAGGGATGGCTCCCTATTGCTCAACCATGTTATGTATGCCGATGATTTGGCAATAGCTGATCATTCAGAGGAGGAGTTGGAGAGGCTGCTGCTGAGACTGGAGCGTGCCACTAAGAGATGGGGCCTTACCATCAGCCCCACCAAAACTTAGCACCTGCCTGGGTATTTTGTACCATCGGACACTACACCCCACAACTCCCAATCGGTGATGGGGCAGTTGTAGAGAGAGTGGAGAGTTTCCCATACCTGGGCAGTGTGCTCATGACCGGCTCCAGTTTAACAGCAGAGGTCTCACTCCGAATCAGTCGAGTGGCAATATCTTTTCATCGGTTGCGTAACGCTGTGTGGAAGCTACCTGGTCTGTCGCTCCGCACTAATCTTCAGGTCTTCTCGGCCACGGTCATTCCCTCCCTTCTCTACGCTTGTGAAACGTGGACCCCCCTAATGGAACATCTTCGCCGGTTAGAAACATATAGGCTAGCCTGCCTACGATCCATCCTAGGTTTAACCAGGCTGGATTGTATGAGGAGCTCACAAATCCCTGAAAGGTCTGGGCAAGGTCCCATCGGTGAGCTCCTCCGGCAGGCAAGGCTGCGTTGGCTGGGTCATGTAGCCCGCATGCCCAGCCACCGCATGCCGAAACAGCTTTTGTTCGGCCGGATCGAGGGGGCTAAGCGGGCGCGGCACGGGCTAGAGAAGAGATGGAGTGATGTGGTACAGGAGGACGTGGAGCTGAGTGGACTTGCCGATGGCTGGTACCAGCGGTGTCAAGATCGGCCTCTGTGGAGGAGGCTCGTGAAGGACGCTACTTGGCAGTTGGAGGTAGTCGCCCTCCAACAACAACGGAGGGCGGAGGAGCGACGCTCACAACAACGAGCGGAGCGCCGGGTGGCTAAAGCACAGCAGGTTGACACAGTAGGGGGCACAGGTGGTGCATCAGCCAGTCATCTCAGTCAGTCGACCCGTGGCACCTGGGTCTGCCCCGTGACCTCCTGCCAGCGGGCGTTCGACACTTCACGTGGCCTCAAGGTGCACATGGCCTGGCACAAGCGTCGTGGTGACGTCACCGCCACTTAGTGGCGAATGGCGGTTGTTGTTGTTGTGTCACTGTGTGTGTCACTGTGTGTGTGTCACTGTGTGTGTGTCACTGTGTGTGTGTGTCTGTGTGTCACTGTGTGTCACTGTGTGTGTGTCACTGTGTGTGTGTGTCACTGTGTGTCACTGTGTGTGTGTGTCTGTGTGTCACTGTGTGTCACTGTGTGTGTGTCTGTGTGTCACTGTGTGTCACTGTGTGTGTGTGTTTCTGTGTGTCCACAGTCAGTTCAGGCCGCACTGTGGAGCGACTCTCATCGACCCCTCATGGATCCTCACCGCCGCCCACTGCGTCAACAGCTCGTGAGTCACGTGGGGGTCCAGGGGGGCAAGTGGGTAGGGGAGCAGGGCAGGAGGAGGAGGTCAGGAGGAGAAGGTCAGGAGGAGGAGGTCAGGAGGAGGAGGTCAGGAGGAGGAGGTCAGGAGGTCAGGAGGAGGAGGTCAGGAGGAGGAGGTCAGGAGGAGGAGGTCAGGAAGAGGTCAGGAGGAGGAGGTCAGGAGGAGGAGGTCAGGAGAAGGTCAGGAGGAGGAGGTCAGGATAAGGTCAGGAGGAGAAGGTCAGGAGGAGGTCAGGAGGAGGAGGTCATGAGGAGGAGGAGAAGGTCAGGAGGAGGTCAGGAGGAGGAGGTCAGGAGGAGGAGAAGGTCAGGAGGACGTCAGGAGGAGGAGGAGAAGGTCAGGAGGACGTCAGGAGGAGGAGGAGAAGGTCAGGAGGAGGAGGTCAGGAGGAGGAGGAGAAGGTCAGGAGAAGGTCAGGAGGAGGAGGAGAAGGTCAAGAGGAGGAGGTCAGGAGGAGGAGGAGGTCAGGAGGAGGAGGAGAAGGTCAGGAGGAGGTCAGGAGGAGGAGGAGAAGGTCAGGAGGAGGAGGTCAGGAGGAGGAGGAGAAGGTCAGGAGGAGGAGGTCAGGAGGAGGAGGTCAGGAGGAGGAGGAGAAGGTCAGGAGGAGGTCAGGAGGAGGAGGAGAAGGTCAGGAGGAGGAGGTCAGGAGGAGGAGGTCAGGAGGAGGAGGAGCACCCCCAGGCTCAACCAGGATTAGTTTGAGGTCTTGAGGAGAAGTTCAGGAGGAGGTCAAAAGGTCAGTAGCAGTGAAGATAATGACCGGTGGAGAAGAGGTGAGGCTCTAGCACGAGACAAAGCCTCACCTCATCTCCACCCCCCGCTCACCCCCAAGCTCGCCCCGCTCACCCCGCTCACCCCACACCCCACGCTCACCCCCAAGCTCACCCCGCTCACCCCCCCCGCTCGCCCCGCTCACCCCCCCGCTCACCCCGCTCTCCCCGCTCACCCCCAAGCTCACCCCGCTCACCCCGCTCACCCCACACCCCACGCTCACCCCACACCCCACGCTCACCCCACTCACCCCGCTCACCCCACGCTCACTCCACACCCCACGCTCACCCCACACCCCACGCTCACCCCACTCACCCCGCTCACCCCCACGCTCACACCCCCCGCCCGCCCCGCTCACCCCGCTCACCCCACACCCCACGCTCACCCCACACCCCACGCTCACCCCACACCCCACGCTCACCCCACTCACCCCGCTCACCCCACACCCCACGCTCACCCCGCTCACTCCCCACGCTCACCACCCCCCCCCCCGCCCGCCCCGCCCGTGCCGCCTGCCTGTAGGGACGTCCGCCTCTACCGCGTGCTCCTCGGCGTCCACAACGAGCTGGCGCCGGAGCGGGAGGCCTGGCAGACGGTGCCGGTGGCGAGCATCCACACGGAGCCCCGCGGCGTGGACATCGCCCTGGTCAAGATCGCGACGTGCGGACCGGGAGTCGAGCCCCCCCCCCCCCCCCCGACCCCCCCCCACCCCCCGCGCCGAGTTGGTGGTCTGGGCACGGCTGGGAGCACGGGCACACAACAGTCTGGTGGAGGATCCACGTGGTTAGGGGTTGGTGGGAGTCTTTGTCTTTGTGTGTGTGCGTGTGCCCTCCACCACCCGACACACACCACCACCGCTACCACCACACCACACCACCACCACCACACCACCACACTACACCATCACACCACCACACCACCACCCCCACACCACCACCACCACCACACCACCACCACACCACACCACACCACCACCACACCACACCATCACACCACCACACCACCACCCCCACACCACCACCACCACCACACCACCACCACACCACACCACACCACCACCACACCACACCATCACACCACCACACCACCACCCCCACACCACCACCACCACCCCACCACCACACCACACCACCACACCCCCACCACACCACCACCACACCACCACCACACCACCACCACACCACCACACCACCACCACACCACACCACCACCACACCACCACCACACCACCACCACACCCACACCACACCCCCACCACACCACACCCCCACACCACCACACCACCACCACACCACCACCACCACACCACCACCACACCACACCACCACCACCACACTACCACCACACCACCACACTACACCACCACCACACTACACCACACCACCACCACACCACACCACCACACCCCCACACTACACCACCACCACCACACCACCACCACACCACCACCACCACACGCAGGCCGGCACAGCTGACCGACCGTGTGTCTCTCGTCTGCCTGCCCGACCCTGACCAAGTCCTGGCACATGGCACCGACTGCGTCATCACGGGCTGGGGGGAGACGCAGGGTGAGGGGAGGGGCTGGGGGAGGGGCGGGGGGGAGACGCAGGGTGAGGGGAGGGGCTGAGGGGAGGGGCTGGGGGAGAGTCAGGGTGAGGGGAGGGGCTGGGGGGAGACGCAGGGTGAGGGGAGGGGAGGGGTGAGGGGAGGGGCTGAGGGGAGGGGAGGGGCTGGGGGAGAGTCAGGGTGAGGGGAGGGGCTGGGGGGAGGGGCTGGGGGGAGACGCAGGGTGAGGGGAGGGGCTGGGGGGAGGGGCTGGGGGGAGACGCAGGGTGAGGGGAGGGGCTGGGGGGAGACGCAGGGTGAGGGGAGGGGCTGGGGGGAGGGGCTGGGGGGAGACGCAGGGTGAGGGGAGGGGCTGAGGGGAGGGGAGGGGCTGGGAGAAAGTCAGGGTGAGGGGAGGGGCTGGGGGGAGACGCAGGGTGAGGGGAGGGGTGAGGGGAGGGGTGAGGGGAGGGGCTGTGTGATGGGGGGAGAGACAAATAGAAAGCAAAGGGGAGTTGCACTTGGAACCAACTCCAATTCATAGACACTGCTACTCGCCATTAACAGCACTTGCCCCTGCAGCCCTGCTAGAGGCTACCTGGGGGACCTTTGTCTGTGTCTCCTTCATAGACACTGCTACTCGCTACTAACAGCACTTGCCCCTGCAGCCCTGCTAGAGGCTACCTGGGGGACCTTTGTCTGTATCTCCTTCATAGACACTGCTACTCGCTACTAACAGCACTTGCCCCTACAGCCCTGCTAGAGCATACACGGGGGACCTTTGTCTTTGTCTGTGTGCGCGCGCTGCCACTCCTCTGTTGGGAGCTGGACCGGTACCGCCTGGATCTCTGTGGCATTCAGGAGGTCCGGTGGACCGGTTCTGGCTTCTGCCACCATGAGGGGTGGACAGTCCTCTACTCGGGGCAGGAGACTGCCAAACAACAGGGTGTGGGTCTTCTTTTGAACAAAAGAATGAAGGGGGCGTGGGAGCGTGGCGGTGAGGTGTGGGAAGCTGTAAGCCCCAGGCTACTTTGGGCTCGCCTTCCCATCAACTGGAGGCGAGGAGTGGTGGTCGTGGTTACTTATGCCCCCACCGAAGACGAACATTCGTGGAGGGATGCAGGCAAAGCCGATGAGTCAGATGCCTTCTATGACCTCCTGTCACAGGTGCCGGCTAAAGTGGCCCTTCGGGTGACTTCAATGCCCGAGTTGGTCATGATGCTGGCACCTGGTCTGGAGTGATTGGAGGACATGGGCTAGATCAGCTCAATAACAAAGGTAGGAGGCTGCTAGATTTTTGTGCAGCTCATGGGCTTGTAATTACCAACACGCTGTTCTGGCATCGGCGCATCCACAAAATCATGGATGCATGCCAGGTCCAAGCAAGAACATCTGCTGGACTACATAGTGACGGAACAGCGGATGCGGGCCAGGACCCCATTTAAACCCATAGTGGCCTGGTCTCAGCTAGATGATGAAAGTTGGAAGCGAGAATTTTATCATCGCTTGCAGATGGGGTTGGCATCGTCCCCCACTCGTCCAGATGTCGAGGGTAAATGGGCGAGGTTTAGGACTGTGACTCAGGCAGCTGCAATGACTGCTTTGGGTACATGGTCCAGACCTCCCCCGAGACCCTGGCTGACAGAGGAGGTGTTCAAGCTGGCTTAAAAAAAGTGAAAGGCCCACTCTCATCGGCTACAGCATCCCACGTCGGAGAATGAGGAGGCTTACCGCAGCCTTCGTTCGGAGGTTCGGAGAGCCGTGAGGCGCGACAAGGATGGGTGGTGGTCGCGGGTTGCTGAGGAGATGGAGTCTGCCTCAATGGCCCCGCAATCACAAAGCGCTACTTAACACCATCAAAAAAGTAACCTGCAGCACCACACCTATTACCATCACTAGGGGGAAAAAACGGTGATCCAATCTCCGACCCCCAGGAACAGATTTGCAGATTTGCTGAGCATTTCTGTGAAGTTATGGGGGAGGGAAAATCCCTCAGCCAGGAAAACATCGTGGCACAAAGTGAGGATGACCCTGCTGAGGCTGCGGTGCCTCAAATCTTGGAAGAAGTCACCCCCTGTGAGTGGCTGGCTGAGGTGCCATCTGTTGATGAAGTACTGAAGGCGATCCAGAGTCTGAGACCAGGAAAGGCACCGGGCAGAGATTATCTCCCAAGCGAAATGCTGAGGGAGGGTGGCGTTTGTGCACAGACTGCCCTACATGGCATCATAACAACAGTCTGGACCACTGGACGGGTTCCGCAGGATTGGAAGGATGCCCTGGTGGTCCCCCTCTTTAAGAAGGGGGATCGCACAAACTGTAAAAACTACAGGGGCATCTCACTCCTCAGTGTGCCGGGACAGGTTCTGGCAAGAATTATTCAACATTGCCTTGACAGGCACGCTGAGGAAAGGCTTGTGGAGCTCCAATGCGGTTTCAGGAAAGGGCGGTCCTGCTCAGATGCCATATTTTCTGTCCGTCTGCTACAGCAGAGGTGTAGGGAATTCCAACAAGACCTACATCTCTGCTTTATTGACCTGGTCAAGGCCTATGATACCATCAGTAGGGCTGGGCTGTGGGGATTTTGACCACGTAGTTCGTGGAAATTTCGATCGCTGCACTGGAGGAATTTCAATCTGATACAGATACAATGGGAGGCTGATCGATGCCCGGGTGCGGTCAAGGGATGGCTCCCTTTTGGTCAACCATGTTATGTATGCCGATGATCTGGCAATTGCCGCTAACTCAGAGGAGGAGTTGGAGACGCTGCTGCTGAAAGTGGAGTGTGCCACTAAGAGGTGGGGCCTTACCATCAGCCCCACCAAAACTAAGCACCTGCCTGGGTATTTTGTACCATCGGGCACTCCACCCCCACAACTCCCAAACGGTGATGGGGCAGTTGTGGAGAGAGTGGAGAGTTTCCCATACCTGGGCAGTGTGCTCATGACCGGCTCCGGTTTAATAGCAGAGGTCTCACTCCGAATCAGTCGAGCGGCAATATCTTTTCCTCGATTGTGTAACGCTGTGTGGAAGCTACCTGGTCTGTCGCTCCGCACAAGCTTCAGGTCTTCTCGGCCACGGTCATTCCCTGCCTTCTCTACGCTTGCGAAGCGTGGACCCCCCTAATGGAACATCTTCGCCAGTTAGAAACATTTAGGCTGGCCTGCCTACAATCAATCCTGGGTTTAACCAGGCTGGATTGTGTGAGGAGCTCACAAATCCTTGAAAAATCTGGACAAAGTCCCATCGGTGAGCTCCTCCGGCAGGCAAGGCTGCGTTGACTGGGTCATGTAGCCCGCATGCCCAGTCACCGCATGCCCAAACAGCTTTTGTTCAGCCGGATTGAGGGGGCTAAACAGGCGCGGAATGTGCTAGAGAAGAGATGGAATGATGTGGTACAGGAAGACGTGGAGCTGAGTGGACTTTCCGATGACTGGTACCAGCGGTGTCAAGATCGGCCTCTGTGGAGGAGGCTCGTGAAGGACGCTACTGGGCAGTTGGAGGCAGTCGCCCTCCAACAACAACGGAGGGCGGAGGAGCGACGCTCACAACAACGAGCGGAGCGCCAGGTGGCTAAAGCACAGCAAGTTGGCACAGTAGGGGGCACAGGTGGTGCATCAGCCAGTCATCTCAGTCAGTCGACCCGTGGCACCTGGGTCTGCCCCGTGACCTCCTGCCAGCGGGGCGTTCGACACTTCACGTGATAGCCTCAAGGTGCACATGGCCTAGCACAAGCGTCGTGGTGACGTCTCCGCCACTTAGTTGCGAATGGCGGTTGTTGTTGTTGTTGTTGTCGTTGTTGTCGTTGTTGTTGTTGTGCGCGCGATGGAGGCACGGGTCACGAGGGGGTGCTAAAGCAGGCGGTGGTGCCCATCATCTCCAACAAGGTCTGTAATCGTCGCGAGTACCTCAACGGGCGCGTGGGCGACACGCAGTTCTGTGCGGGCTACCCCGAGGGTGGTACAGACACCTGCTCCGTGAGTGGGCCACGCAACCACCAATCCACCCACCAATCCACCCACCAATCCACCCACCAATCCACCCACCTAATCCACCCACCCGCCAATGTACCCACCCACCAATCTACCCACCAAATCCACCCACCAATCCACCCACCCATCTGCCTACCCACCAATCCACCCACCCACCAATCTACCCACCCACCAATGCACCCACCAATCTACCCACCAATCCACCCACCCACCAATCTACCCACCCACCAAATTCACCCACTAAATCCACCCACCCATCTGCCTACCCACCCATCCACCCACCCACCCACCAATCTACCCACCCACTCACCCACTCTACTCCCACTACGTCAGTGCACCACCCACACATGCACCCACCCACAACCACCCACCCACCCACCCACACCCACCCACACCACCCACCAAACCACCCACATACCCCACCCAACTACCACTCCACCCACGCTCTGTGAGTGGTTCACCCACACCCACCACCCACCCCACCCACCCCTTCCTCTTCCTGACCTCGTCATCCTGACCTCCTCCTCCTCCTGACCTCATCCTCCTGACCTCCTCTTCCTCCTGACCTCCACCTCCTTACCTCCTCTTCCTCCTGACCTCGTCATCCTGACCTCCTCCTCCTTACCTCCTCTTCCTCCTGACCTCAACCTCCTGACCTCCTCCTCCTGACCTCCTCTTCCTCCTGACCTCCACCTCCTGACCTCCTCCTCCTGACCTCCTCTTCCTCCTGACCTCCACCTCCTGACCTCCTCCTCCTGACCTCCTCTTCCTCCTGACCTCCACTTCCTGACCTCCTCCTCCTGACCTCCTCTTCCTCCTGACCTCCACCTCCTGACCTCCTCCTCCTGACCTCCTCTTCCTCCTGACCTCCACTTCCTGACCTCCTCCTCCTGACCTCCTCTTCCTCCTGACCTCCACCTCCTGACCTCCTCCTCCTGACCTCCTCTTCCTCCTGACCTCCACTTCCTGACCTCCTCCTCCTGACCTCCACCTCCTGACCTCCTCCTCCTGACCTCCTCTTCGTTCTGACCTCCACCTCCTAACCTCATCCTCCTGACGTAATCCTCCTAACTCCATCCTGCTGACCTCATCCTCACCTCCACCACCTGACCTCATCCTCTTGACCTCATCCTCCAGACCTCATCCTCCAGACCTCATCCTCCAGACCTCATCCTCCTCCTGACCTCCTCCTCCTGACCTCCTCCTCCTGACCTCCTCCTCACCTCCACCATCTGACCTCCTCCTCCTGACCTCCACCACCTGACCTCATCCTCCTGACCTCATCCTCCTAACCTCCTCCTCCTAACCTCCTCACCTCCACCACCTGACCTCATCCTCCTGACCTCCACCACCTGACCTCATCCTGCTGACCCCATCCTCCTCACCTCCACCACCTGACCTCCTCCTCCTGACCTCCACCACCTGACCTCATCCTCCTCACCTCCACCACCTGACCTCATCCTCCTCACCTCCACCACCTGACCTCCTCCTCCTGACCTCCACCACCTGACCTCATCCTCCTCACCTCCACCACCTGACCTCCTCCTCCTGACCTCCTGTCCCCGTGCCCCCAGGGAGACAGTGGGGGCCCCCTGGTGTCCCGAGACAGACAGAGATTCGTGGTGCACGGCGTCACCTCCTGGGGCATGGGCTGTGCCCACCGCAACAAGCCCGGGGTCTACACGCGCGTGTCGGCCTTCATCCCCTGGATCCAGGGGGTCATGCAGCGCAACTGAGGTGGGTTGGTGAGTGGGTGGGTGAGTGGGTGGGTGAGTGGGTGGGTGGGTGAGTGGGTGGGTGGGTGGGTGAGTGGGTGGGTGGGTTGGTGAGTGGGTGGGTGGGTGGGTGAGTGGGTGGGTGGGTGGGTGAGTGGGTGGCTGGGTGAGTGGGTGGGTGGCTGGGTGAGTGGGTGGGTGGGTGGGTGAGTGGGTGAATGGGTGAGTGGGTGGGTGAATGGGTGAGTGGGTGGGTGAATGGGTGGGTGAGTGGGTGAATGGGTGGGTGGGTGAATGGGTGAGTGGGTGGGTGAATGGGTGAGTGGGTGGGTGAATGAGTGAGTGGGTGGGTGAATGGGTGAGTGAGTGGGTGGGTGAATGGGTGAGTGAGTGGGTGGGTGAGTGAGATGGTGGATGAGTGAGATGGTGAGTGAGTGAGATGGTGGGTGAGTGAATGAGATGGTGGGTGAGTGAGATGGTGGGTGGGTGGCTGGGTGAGTGGGTGGGTGGGTGGGTGAGTGGGTGAGTGGCTGAGTGGGTGGGTGAGTGGCTGAGTGTGTGAGTGAGTGGCTGGGTGAGTGGATGAGTGGGTGGGTGGGTGAGTGGCTGAGTGGGTGGGTGAGTGGGTCGGTGGGTGGATGAGTGGGTGGGTGGGTGAGTGAGTGGGTGAGTGGATGAGTGGGTGAGTGGCTGGGTGGGTGGGTGGCTGGGTGAGTGAGTGGGTGTATGAGTGGCTGAGTGGGTGGGTGGATGAGTGGCTGAGTGAGTGGGTGAGTGGCTGGGTGAGTGGATGTGTGGGTGGCTGAGTGTGTGGGTGGGTTGGTGAGTGGGTGGGTGGGTGAGTGAGTGGCTGGGTGAGTGGGTGGGTGGGTTGGTGAGTGGGTGGGTGAGTGAGTGGGTGGGTGAATGGGTGGGTGAGTGGCTGTGTGAGTGGGTGGGTGAGTGGCTGTGTGAGTGGGTGGGTGAGTGGCTGAGTGGGTGGGTGAGTGGGTGGGTGGGTGGGTGAGTGGGTGGGTGAGTGGGTGGGTGAGTGGGTGGGTGGGTGAGTGGGTGGGTGGGTGGGTGAGTGGGTGGGTGGGTGAGTGGGTGGGTGGGTGAGTGGGTGGGTGGGTGGGTGAGTGGGTGGGTGGGGTGGGTGAGTGAGTGGGTGGGTGGGTGGGTGAGTGAGTGAGTGGGTGGGTGAGTGAGTGGGTGAGTGAGTGAGTGGGTGAGTGGATGGCTGAGTGGGTGGGTGAGTGGCTGAGTGGCTGGTTGGGTGGGTGAGTGGGTGGGTGAGTGAGTGGGTGAGTGAGTGGGTGAGTGAGTGGGTGAGTGGATGGCTGAGTGGGTGGGTGAGTGGCTGGGTGGGTGGGTGTCAAAGCAAGGATGAGGTGTTCATGGTGGTTTAAAGCAGCATGGGCGATGTGAATCACCCAGTGTGGTAGATTGACTGATGCTGCTGGTGGACTTCTTTCGCACCGTACGTTGTGTTTATTTTGACAACAAAATAAACACAACAACAACAAGCAGTTCTAAACACATTAGTTGTCAATGTAGTGTAGTGGTGTAGTGTATCGTAATGTAAATGTATCCTAGTGTAGTGTATAGTGTAGTCTATAGTATAGTGTATATTGTAGTGTATAGTGTAGTGTAATGTATAGTGTGGTGTATAGTGTAGTGTATATTGTAGTGTATAGTAGTGTATAGTGTAGTGTATAGTGTAGTGTGTAGTGTATAGTAGTGTATAGTGTAGTGTATAGTAGTGTATAGTGTAGTAGTGTGTAGTGTATAGTGTAGTGTATAGTGTAGTGTATAGTAGTGTAGTGTATAGTGTAGTGTATAGTGTAGTGTTTAATGTAGTGTGTAGTGTAGTGTATAGTGTAGTGTATAGTGTATTGCGTATAGTAGTGTGTAGTGTATAGTGTAGTAGTGTAGTGTATAGTGTCGTATGTAGTGTATAGTGTATTGTATAGTGTAGTGTATAGTAGTGTATAGTGTAGTGTTTAGTGTAGTATATAGTGTATAGCATAGTGTATAGCGTAGTGTACAGTGTAGTGTATAGTGTGTAGTGTAGTGTATAGTATATGGTGTGGTGTAGTATGTAGTGTAGTGTATAGTGTAGTGTGTATTGTGTAGTGTATAGTGTATAGTGTAGTGTGTAGTGTATAGTGCAGTGTGTAGTGTATAGTGTAGTATATAGTGTAGTGTATAGTGCAGTGTAGTGTATAGTGCAGTGTAGTAGTGTAGTGTATAATGTAGTGTATAGTGTAGTGCAGTGTATAGTGCAGTGTAGTGTGTCGTGTATAGTGTAGTGTGTAGTGTATAGTGTAGTAGTATAGTGTAGTGTATAGTAGTGTATAGTGTAGTGTATAGTGTGTAGTGTATAGTGTAGTGTATAGTGTATAGTAGTGGTGTATAGTAGTGTATAGTGTAGTGTGTAGTGTAGTGTGTAGTGTAGTGTGTAGTGTATAGTGTAGTGTATAGTGTAGTGTATAGTGTAGTCTATCTATGTTGAACCTCTAGCACCGTACGTAGCCAACCACGCTAATCGGAAGTGCGGGGGAATGACAACAAACTAAACAACAACAACCACAACAACAGGCAGCTGCTGTCAACAACATGAGTTTGTCACTCTAGATGATGATAATGATGATGATTATGGTCGTGGTGGTGATTTAAAAGTGGCGTAGCTCCAAGTGGCTCCATGACATCGCAAGGAAGAGAGCGCTCCAGACGGCCAGCAGAAGCTGCGGCATCTCATAATTTACGACGGTGCTTGCTTCCGGCTGCTGCTGATGATGATGCTGCTGATGACGATGATGATGCTGATGATGACGGTAATGATTCTGATGATGATGATGATGCTGATGATGATGCTGCTGATGATAATGCTGATGATGATGACGATGATTCTGATGGTTATAATTCTGATGATGATGCTGACGATGATGCTGATGATGATGCTGATGACGACGATGCTGATGACGATGATGCTCATGATGCTGCTGATGCTTCTGATGATGATGCTGATGATGATGACGACGATGACTATGATGATGATGATGATGACGACTTTGATGATGACTATGCTGATTATGTTGACGCGATGATGACGTGATGATGACGATGACGTGATGATGACGTGATGATGATGCGATGATGACGCGATGATGACGTGATGATGACGTGATGATGACGCGATGATGACGCGATGATGTGTATTTCAGTGCTCAAGCGAGACACGGGACTGGTTTCGTAGCTGCAGACAGCCGCTCGGGGTCTATGGGAAATGGATTTTGCGAAGCCCGGCATGGAGTTGACATCTTTGCACACACGCACATACACGCATAAACACGCATGTGCATACACACAACAACAACAACCGCCATTCGCCAATAAGCTGCGGAGACGTCACCACGACGCTTGTGCCAGGCTAGGTGCACCTTGAGGCCACGTGAAGTGTCGAACGCCCGCTGGCAGGTCACGGGGCAGACCCAGCAGGTGCCACGGGTCGACTGACTGAGACGACTGAGATGAGTGGCTGATGCACTACCTGTGCCCCCTACTGTGCCAACTTGCAGAGCTTTAGCCACCCGGCGCTCCGCTCGTTGTTGTGAGCGTCGCTCCTCCGCCCTCTGTTGTTGTTGGAGGGTGACTGCCTCCAACTGCCCAGTAGCGTCCTACACGAGCCTCCTCCTCCACAGGGGCCGATCTTGACACCGCTGGTACCAGTCATCGGCAAGTCCACTCAGCTCCACGTCCTCCTGTACCACGTCACTCCATCTCTTCTCTAGCCCGTACCACGCCCGTTTAGCCCTCTCGATCCGGCCGAACAAAAGCTGTTTAGGAACGCGGTGGCTGGGCATGCGGACTACATGGCCCAGCCAACGCAGCCTTGCCTGCCGGAGGTGCTCACCGATGGGACTTTGTCCAGATCTTTCGAGGATTTGTGAGCTCCTCACACAATCCAGCCTGGTTAAACCCAGGATTGATCGTAGGCAGGCCAGCCTAAATGTTTCTAACCGACGAAGATGTTCCTTGAGGGGGGTCCACGTTTCGCAAGCGTAGAGAAGAGAGGGAATGACCGTGGCCGTGATAGACCATGTAGCTTCCACACAGCGTTACGCAACCGATGGAAAGATACTGCCACTCGACTGATTCGGAGTGAGACCTCTGCTGTTAAACCGGAGCCGGGCATGAGCACACTGCCCAGGTATGGGAAACTCTCCAGTCTCTCCACAACAGCCCCATCACCGATTGGGAGTTGTGGGAGTGGAGTGCCCCATGGTACAAAATACCCAGGCAGGTGCTTCGTTTTGGTGGGGCTGATGGTAAAGCCCCACCTCTTAGTGGCACGCTCCAGGTTCAGCAGCAGCGCCTCCAACTCCTCCTCTGAGTGAGCCGCAATTACCAAATCGTCGGCATACATAACGTGGTTGACCAATAGGGAGCCATCCCTTCACCGCACACGGGCATCGATTAGCCTCCCATTATATCTGTACCAGATGGGAATTCCTCCGGGACAGCTACTGATGGCTTCATGAACTACGTGGTCAAAATAGATGTTAAATAATGTGGGAGCCAGAGGACATCCCTGTCGCACCCCAAGGTGAACAGGGAATGGCTCCGACTCCCAGTCACGTAGTTTTACCCGGGCCCTCTCGCCATCATGATGAAGGTCCTTAATGATCGTGAGCAGCGGGTAAGGGACTCCGAAAGTACAAAGAACAACCCAGAGCTTAGGCCTACTGGTGGTATGATAAGCCTTGACCAGGTCAATAAAGCAGAGATGTAGGTATTGTTGGAATTCCCTACACCTCTGCAGTAGCAAACGGACAGAAAATATGGCATCTGTGCAGGACCGCCCTTTCCTGAAACCGCATTGGGGCTCCGCAAGCCTCTCTTCAGCGTGCCTGGCAAGGCGATGTTGAATAATCCTTGCCAGGACCTTTCCCGGCACACTGAGGAGTGAGATGCCCCTGTAGTTGTTACAGCCTGTGCGGTCCCCCTTCTTAAAAGAAGGGGACCACCAGGGCATCCTTCCAATCCTGTGGAATCCGTCCAGTGGTCCAGATTGTTGTTATGATATCATGTAGGGCACTCTGTGCACAAACGCCACCCTCCCTCAGCATTTCGCTTGGGAGATCATCTCTGCCCGCTGCCTTTCCTGGTCTCAGACTCTGGATCACCTTCAGTACTTCCTCAAAAGATGGCACTTCAGGCAGCCACTCACAGGGGGTGACTTCTTCAAATATTTGAGGCACCGCAGCCTCAGCAGGGTCATCCCCACTTTGTCCCACGATGTTTTCCATGTGGAGGGATTTCCCCTTTCCCAGGACTTCACAGGAATGCTCAGCAAAGCTGCAAACCTGTTCCATGGGGTCGGAGATTGGATCACCGTTTTTTCCCGTAATTATCATAATAGGTATGGCGCTGCAGGTTACTTATTTGATGGAATTGAATAGGGATTTGTGATCGCGGGCCATAGAGGCAGACTCCATCTCCTCAGAAACCCACGACTACCACCCATCATTGCAGCGCCTCACGGCTCTGCGAACCTCCGAGCGAAGGCTGCGGTAAGCCTCCTCTTTCTCCGACGTGGGATGCTGTAGCCAATGAGAGTGGGCCTGTCTATTTTTCTCAGCCAGCTTGAACACCTCTGTCAGCCAGGGTCTCTGAGGAGGTCTGGACGACGTACCCAAAGCAGCCATTGCAGCTGCCTGAGTCACAGTCCTAAACCTCGCCCATTTACCCTCGACATCAGGAGGAGTCGGGGACGATGCCAACCCCAGCCGCAAGCGATGATGAAATTCCATCAAATATAAATTCTCGCTTGCAACTTTCATCAGCTGAGACCAGGCCACCTTAGGTTTGAATGGGGTCCTGGGTGTACACCCACCACCAGAGTGGAAGAATGCCAGGCGCATCTTACAGATGACTAGTCGATGGTCAGAGGGTAGATCAGCTCCACGGTAGGTCCTGGTGTCAAGGTCATGGGCCTGCATCCGCTGTTCCGTCACTATGTATTCAAGAAGATGTTCTTGATTGGGCCCGGCATGCATCCATGACGTTGTGTGGATGCACCGATGCCGGAACAGCGTGTTGGTAATTACAAGCCCATGGGCTGCACAAAAATCTAGCAGCCTCCTACCGTTGTTATTGAGCTGATCTGGCCCATGCCTTCCAATCACTCCAGACCAGGTGCCAGGATCATGACCAACTCGGGCATTGAAGTCACCCAACAAGATGACTATCCCGAGGGGCCACTTTAGCCAGCACCTGTGACAGGAGGTCATAGAAGGCATCTGACTCATCGGCCTTGCCTGCATCCCTCCACAGATGTTCGTCTTCGGTGGGGGCATAAGTAACCACGACCACCACTCCTCGCCTCCGGTTGATGGGTAGGCGAGCCCAAAGTAGCCTGGGGCTTACAGCTTCCCACACCTCACCGCCACGCTCCCACGCCCCCTTCATTCTTTTGTTCAGAAGGAGAGCCACACCCTGTTGTTTGGCAGTCTCCTGCCCCGAGTAGAGGACTGTCCACCCCTCTGGGTGGCAGGAGCCAGAGCCGGTCCACCGGACCTCCTGCATGCCACAGAGATCCAGGCAGTACCGGTACAGCTCCCGACAGAGGAGTGGCAGCCTCCCCTCCGCAGTGAGCGTTCGAACATTCCACGTGGCCATCCGTAATGACGTTTTGTTGTTTCTGGATGAGCCCCGAGGGTAAAGATTAAATATCGTGGCTCCGCTAAATGCAGTTTGGCTAGGAGACGTCAAAGACGCCTGTCCCCCGGGGGCCTCCGGCACAAGCTTATTAGTTAAAATTTTCGATCATAGTTTAGACACACACACAGACACACACACAGACACAGACACATACACACAGACACACAGACACACACACGCACGCTGTTGTGACTTTGATGTCAATAAAGTTCTTTGAATCTCCCTAACTCGTTCCGTGAAACAAAAACAACAACACGTGTACACACAGACACGTGTACACACAGACACGTGTACACACACATACGCGTACACACACATACGCGTACACACACATGCGTACACACACTCACACGTACACACACGTACACACACACGAGCTAACACACACACACTCGTACACACACGAGCTAACCCACACGAGCTAACACTCACACGTACACACACTCACACGTACACACACTCACACGTACACGCAACAACCGCCATTCGTCACTAAGTGGCGGTGACGTCACCACGACACGCGTGCCAGGCCATGTGCACCTTGAGGCCACGTGAAGTGTCAAACGCCCGCTGATAGGTCACGGGCAGACCCAGGTGCCACGGGTCGACTGACTAAGATGACTGAGATGACTGGCTGATGCACCACCTGTGCCCCCTACTGCGCCAACCTGCTGTGCTTTAGCCACCCGGCGCTCCGCTCGTTGTTGTGAGCGTCGCTCCTCCGCCCTCCGTTATTGTTGGAGGGCGACTGCCTCCAACTGCCCAGTAGCAGCGTCCTTCACGAGCCTCCTCCACAGAGGCCGATCTTGACACCGCTGGTACCAGTAGAGAAGGGAAGGAATGACCGTGGCCGAGAAGACCTGAAGCTTAGTGCGGAGCGACAGACCAGGTAGCTTCCACACAGCGTTACGCAACCGATTAAAAGATATTGCCGCTCCACCGATTCGGAGTGAGACCTCTGCTGTTAAACTGGAGCCGGTCATAAGCACACTGCCCAGGTATGGGAAACTCTCCACTCTCTCCACAACTGCCCCATCACCGATTGGGAGTTGTGTGGGTGGAGTGTCCGATGGAACAAAATACCCAGTCTCAGCAGCAGCGTCTCCAACTCCTCCTCTGAATGAACAGCTATTACCAAATCATCGGCATACATAACGTGGTCGAGCAATAGGGAGCCATCCCTTGACCGCACCCGGACATCGATCAGCCTCCCATTATATCTGTACCAGATGGAGATTCCCCCGGTACAGCTATTGAAGGCTTCATGAACTACGTGGTCAAAATAGATGTTAAATAATGTGGGAGCCAGAGGACATCCCTGTCGCACCCCAAGGTGTACAGGGAATGGCTCTAACTCCCGGCCACGTAGTTTTACCCGGGCCCGCTCACCATCATGTCGGTCCTTAATTATCGTGAGCAGAGGGTCAGGGACTCCAAAAGCACGAAGAACAACCCAACGCTCAGGCCTACTGATGGTATCATAGGCCTTGACCAGGTCAATAAAGCAGAGATGTAGGTCTTGTTGGAATTCCCTACACATCTGCTGTAGCAGACGGACAGAAAATATGGCATCTGTGCAGGACCGCCCTTTCCTGAAACCGCATTGGGGCTCTACAAGCCTCTCCTTAGCGTGCCTGGCAAGGCGATGTTGAATAATCCTTGCCAGGACCTTTCCCGGCACACTGAGGAGTGAGATCCCCCTGTAGTTGTTACAGACTGTGCGTACACACACTCACGCGTACACACACACGCGCGTACACACACACTCGCGTACACACACACTCACGCGCACACACACATACACGCGTACACACACATACACGCGTACACACACTCACACGTACACACACACGTACACACACATGAGCTAACACACACTTTCACATGATCTAACACACACACTCACACGTACACACACTCGCACGTACACACACACACTCACACGTACACACTCACACGTACACACACACGAGCTAACACACACACAACAACAACAACCGCCATTCGCCACTAAGTGGCGGTGACATCACCACGACGCTTGTGCCAGGCGATGTGCACCATGAGGCCACGTGAAGTGTCGAACGCCCGCTGGCAGGTGGTCACGGGGCAGACCCAGGTGCCACGGGTCGATTGACCGAGATGACTGGCTGATGCACCACCTGTGCCCCCTATTGTGCCAACCTGCTGTGCTTTAGCCACCCGGCGCTCCGCTCGTTGTTGTGAGCGTCGCTCCTCCACCCTCCGTTGTTGTTGGAGGGCGACTGCCTCCAACTGCCCAGTAGCAACGTCCTTCACGAGCCTCCTCCACAGAGGCCGATCTTGACACCGCTGGTACCAGTCATCGGCAAGTCCACTCAGCTCCACGTCCTCCTGTACCACATCACTCCGTCTCTTCTCTAGTCCGTGCCGCGCCTGCTTAGCCCCTTCAATCCGGCCGAACAAAAGCTGTTTCGGCATGCGGTGGCTGGGCATGCGGGCTACATGACTCTGCTGTAGCACACGGACAGAAAATATGGCTTCTGTGCAGGACCGCCCTTTCCTGAAACCACATTGGGGTTCCGCAAGCCTCTCCTCAGCGTGTCTGGCAAGGCAATGCTGAATAATCCTTGCCAGGACCTTTCCCGGCACACTGAGGAGTGAGATGCCCCTGTAGTTGTTACAGTCTGTGCGGTCCCCCTTCTTAAAAAGCGGGACCACCAGGGCATCCTTCCAATCCTGCGGAAACCGTCCAGTGGTCCAGACCGTTGTTATGATGTCATATAGGGCAGTCTGTGCACAAACGCCACCCTCCCTCAGCATTTCGCTTGGGAGATCATCTCTGCCCGCTGCCTTTCCTGGTCTCGGACTCCGGATCGCCTTCAGTACTTCCTCAACAGATGGCACCTCAGCCAGCCACTCACAGGGGGTGACTTCTTCCAATATTTGAGGCACCGCAGCCTCAGCAGGGTCATCCCCACTTTGTGCCACGATGTTTTCCTGGCTGAGGGATTTTCCCTCCCCCAGGACCTCACAGAAATGCTCAGCAAATCTGCAAACCTGTTCCTGGGGGTCGGAGATTGGATCACCGTTTTTTTGCCCTAATGATGGTAATAGGTGTGGCGCTGCAGGTTACTTTTTTGATGGAGTTAAATAGAGATATGTGATCACGGGCCACTGAGGCAGACTCCATCTCCTCAGAAACTCGCGACCACCACCCATCCTTGCAGCGCCTCACGGCTCTCCGAACCTCCGAGCAAAGGCTGCAGTAAGCCTCCTCATTCTCTGACGTGGAATTCTGTAGCCGATGACAGTGCGCCTGTCGCTTTTTCTCAACCATCCTGAACACCTCCTCTGTCAGCCTGGGTCTCTGGGGAGGTCTGGACCGCGTACCCAAAGCAGCCATTGCAGCTGCATGAGTCACAATCCTAAACCTCGCCCATTTACCCTCGACATCAGGAGGAGTCGGTGACGATGCCAATCCCAGCCGCAAGCGATGATGAAATTCTCGCATGCAACTTTCATCAGATAACTGAGACTAGGCCACTTTAGGTTGGAATGGGGTCCTGGGTGTACACCCACCACCGGAGTGGAATAATGGCAGGCGCATCTTACAGATGACTAGTCGATGGTCAGAGGGCAGATCAGCTCCATGGTAGGTCCTGGTGTCAAGGACATGGGCTCGCATCCGCTGGTCCATCACTATGTAGTCCAGCAGATGTTCTTGCTTGGACCCGGCATGCATCCATGATGTTGTGTGGATGGGCCGATGCTGGAACAGCGTGTTGGTAATTACAAGCCCATGGGCTGCACAAAAATCTAGCAGCCTCCTACCGTTGTTATTGAGCTGATCTGGCCCATGCCTTCCAATCACTCCAGACCAGGTGCCAGTATCATGACCACCTCGGGCATTGAAGTCGCCCAACAAGATGACTCTATCCCGAGGTGCCACTTTAGCCAGCACCTGTGACAGGAGGTCATAGAAGGCATCTGACTCATCGGCTTTGCCTGCATCCCTCCACGGATGTTCATCTTCGGTGGGGGCATAAGTAACCACGACCACCACTCCTCGCCTCCGGTTGATGGGAAGGCGATCCCAAAGTAGCCTGGGGCTTACAGCTTCCCACACCTCACCGCCACGCTCCCACGCCCCCTTCATTCTTTTGTTCAAAAGAAGAGCCACACCCTGTTGTTTGGCAGTCTGCTGCCCCGAATAGAGGAATGTCCACCCATCATGGTAGCAGGAGCCAGAACCGGTCCACCGGACCTCCTGAATGCCACAGAGATCCAGGCGGTACCGGTCCAGCTCCCGACAGAGGAGTGGCAGCCTCTCCTCCGCAGTGAGCATTCCAACATTCCATTTGGCCACACGAAGTGGCTTTTTGTTGTTTCTGGAGGAGCCTCGAGGGTAGATATTCAATCTCCTGGCTCCGCCAATTGGGGTTTGGCCAGGAGACGTCATAGACGCCTGTACCCCCGGGGGCCTCTGGCACAAGCTTATTAGTTACATATTTAATCCATGGTTTCGTGGTATTTTTTGAAGGTGGAGGAGTTACCAGCCCCTCGCACCCATCCAGAGCCCCCGCTCAGCCCCTGTGGTGGACACAGACGCCATGAAGGGAGGAACCAATCGGAATTGGCTCCTCCCCCCACAGCACTGTCCACGACAGAGTTGCCCGTCCGGCACCGCGAGGAGGTAGGGGGTTGTTTTGAGTATGTGCACACACATACACACTCACACGTACACACACACAGATACACTATTATTGGGGGGAGGGGTGTAACGTGACACAAAGACAAAGGTCCCCGACCCCAGGTAGCCCACACAACATAGAGCAGCAGCAGCGGCAATGAAGGAGACAGACAAAGGTCCCCCAGGTAGTCTCTAACAGACTGTAGGGGCAAGTGCTGTTAGTAGCGAGTAGCAGCAGCTACTCTGTGAGGTTGAGTGGAGTATTTAAGGAGTTCCCCCCCCCTCACCCCCCACACCCCGCCCCTTCACCCCCCCCCCGCCCCCCACCACCGCTGTGAACTTTCATGAGGGGGTGGGCAGGTGGTGGGTGGGGAGGGGGAGAGGGGGGAGGGGGAGAGGGGGGAGGGGGCAGGGGGGAGGGGCCCCAGACGACCCAAGTCGATTTCGCAACGCGGTAGCAACAGCCACGCGCTTCGTCACCCTCCCCCACAACCCCCACCCCCCCATAACCCCCCTCCCCACCCCCACAATACCCCCCCCCTCCACAACCCCCTCCCCCACAACCCCCACCCCCCATAACCCCCCCCACCCCCCCCATAACCCCCCCACCCCCCCCATAACCCCCCCTCCACAACCCCCCCTCCACAACCCCCTCCCCCACAACCCCCACCCCCCATAATACCCCCCCACCCCCACAATACCCCACAACCGCCACCCCCACAACCGCCACCCCCACAACCGCCACCCCCACAACCGCCACCCCCACAACCGCCACCCCCACAACCGCCACCCCCACAACCGCCACCCCCACAACCGCCACCCCCACAACCGCCACCATCACAACCGCCACCATCACAACCGCCACCATCACAACCGCCACCATCACAACCGCCACCATCACAACCGCCACCATCACAACCGCCACCATCACAACCGCCACCATCACAACCGCCACCATCACAACCGCCACCATCACAACCGCCACCATCACAACCGCCACCATCACAACCGCCACCATCACAACCGCCACCATCACAACCGCCACCATCTCCTACACAGGCAAAGGTCCCCCAGGTAGCCTTCAGCAGGCTGTAGGGGCAAGTGCTGCTAGTGGCAGTGTCTATGAAGGAGACGCTGATGATGATGCTGATGATGATACTGATGATGATAGTGATGATGCTGATGATGATGCTGCTGCTGCTGATGATGATGCTGATGATGATGATTATGCTGATACTGATGATGATACCGATGTTGATGCTGATGATGCTGATGATGATTAAACTGATGATGATGATGCTGATGATGATGCTGATGATGATGCAGATGATGATGATGCTGATACTGATGATGATGCTGATGATGATACTGATGATGATGATGATGCTGATGATGCTGATGATGATGCTGATGATGATGCTAATGATGATGATAATGCTGATACTGATTATCATGCTGATGATGCTGATGATGCTGATGACGCTGATGATACTGATGATGATTATACTGATGATGGTGCTGATGATGATGATTATAACTGATGATGATGATGATGTTGATGCTGATGATGATGATGCTGATGATGCTGATACTGATGATGCTGATGATGATACTGATGATACTGATGATGCTGATGATCCTGATGATGCTGATGATGCTGATGATGACGATGATGCTGATGATGATGGTGATGATGGTGATGATGATGCTGATGATGATGGTGATAATGATGCTGATGATACTGATGATGATGATGCTGATGATGATACTGATGATGATGATGCTGACGATGATGCTGATGATACTGATGATGATGATGATGTCGGTGACGCAGCAGCTGCTTCTGATGCTGCTGCTGCTGCTGGTGATGTTAGCTAGCGGCGCTCAGCCCCAGGAGACCACCACCACCGCGACACCACCACCACCATCACCTCCACCAGCTGGGCCCGTGGACGTGTCCAAACTCACGACCAGCGAGCCCCTCTCGGCCCGGGTCGAGCGGCCCCTGGGCTCCTGCAGCGTCGCGTGCGGAGTGGGAGCCCTTGAGGTAGCCTCGTGCCTCGAGACGCAGGGCACGGAGCCTACGCAGTGTCGCAAGGTGGGTGGGTGGGTGAGTGAGTGGGTGAGTGGGTGGGTGAGTGAGTGAGTGGGTGAGTGGGTGGGTGAGTGGGTGTGTGGGTGGGTGAGTGGGTGTGTGGGTGGGTGAGTGAGTGAGTGGGTGAGTGAGTGAGTGAGTGGGGAGGTGGGTGAGTGGATGGGTGAGTGAGTGAGTGGGTGAGTGTGTGGGTGGGTGAGTGGGTGAGTGAGTGAGTGGGTGAGTGAGTGAGTGGGTGAGTGGGTGGGTGGGTGAGTGGGTGTGTGGGTGGGTGAGTGAGTGAGTGGGTGAGTGGGTGGGTGGGTGGATGGGTGGATGGGTGAGTGGGTGGGTGGGTGGATGGGTGAGTGGGTGGATGGGTGAGTGGGTGGATGGGTGAGTGGGTGGGTGGATGGGTGGGAGGTTGGATGGGTAGATGTGTGGATGGGTGAGTGGATGGGTGAGTGGATGGTTTGGTGAGTGGATGGGTGGGTGAGTGGTGGGTGGTTGGATGAATGGATGGGTGGGTGAGTGGGTGGTTGGGTGAGTGGATGGGTGGGTGGGTGAGTGGATGGGTGGGTGAGTGGTTGGGTGAGTGGATGGATGGTTGGGTGAGTGGGTGGTTGGGCGAGTGGATGGGTGAGTGAGTGGATGGTTGGGTGAGTGGATGGTTCGATGAGTTGTGAGTGGGTGGTTGGGCGAGTGATGGTGAGTGGTGATGGTTGGGCGAGTGGATGGGTGAGTGAGTGGATGGATGGGTGAGTGAGTGGATGGTTGGGTGAGTGAGTGGTTGGGTGAGTGGATGGGTGAGTGGGTGTGTGGTTGGGTGAGTGGATGGTTGGGTGAGTGGATGGTTGGGTGAGTGGGTGGTTGGGTGAGTGGATGGATGGTTGGGTGAGTGGGTGGTTGGGTGAGTGAGTGGATGGTTGGGTGAGTGGAAGGTTGAGCGAGTGGATAGCTGAGTGAGTGGGTGGTTGGGCGAGTGGATGGGTGGGTGGATGGTTGGGTGAGTGGGTGGTTGGGTGAGTGGATGGGTGGGTGGGTGGATGGTTGGGTGAGTGGGTGGTTGGGTGAGTGGTTGGGTGGGTGAGTGGTTGGGTGGATGGCTGAGTGAGTGGGTGGTTGGGTGAGTGGGTGGTTGGGTGAGTGGAAGGCTGAGTGAGTGGGTGTATTCCCTTCGAGACGTAGCCCTGACCGTGTCCCAACCCCCACACTCTCGACTTGAGCGCGGCCGCGTCCCGTGCCCGCAGGTGACGCGCCCGTGCCTGCGGAGGGCCGACTGCGGCGTGCGGGCCGTGTCCGTCGTCTCGGGCCACGGCGCTGCCCTCGACTGCCTGGGGCCCGAGATGGCCCGCGTGGACCTCGCCGGCTTCTCCTTCGCCTGGAGGTGGGCCCCCGGCGCCGTCACCGAGGACCCGTCGGAGATCCGCGTTCCCCTCGCGCCGGCGCCGCCCTCCTCCAGCCTGAGCTGGAGGTCGGCGACGGAGCGCGCCGCCGGCTCGTACCGCTGCGTGGTGACGGCCCGCGGGGTCCCGGAGCCCGTCAAGATCGTCCTCTTCGTGCTCAAGGTGGGGAGCGACGGCGCGATCGACGCCGGGAGGTCTCGCGAGGCGGGAGGCATCCGCGGTACCCTCCGTCATCCACAGCTCTCTCCTTCGCCTGCAGCTCCATAACCTTCAACAACAGCTCTCTCCTTCATCCACAGCTCTCTCCTCCAACCACAGCTCCCTCCTTCATCCACACCTCTCTCCTTCGTCTGCAGCTCCATAACCTTCATCAACAGCTCTCTCCTTCATCCACAGCTCTCTCCTCCAACCACAGCTTCCTCCTTCATCCACAGCTCCCTCCTTCATCCACAGCTCTCTCCTTCATCCACAGCTCCCTCCTTCATCCACAGCTCCCTCCTTCATCCACAGCTCTCTCCTTCATCCACAGCTCTCTCCTTCATCCACGGGTCCCTCCTTCATCCACAGCTCTCTCCTTCGCCTGTAGCTCCATAACCTTCATCAACAGCTCTCTCCTTCATCCACAGCTCTCTCCTCCAACCACAGCTCCATCCTTCATCCACGGCTCTCTCCTTCATCCACAGCTCTTTCCTTCATCCACGGCTCCCTCCTTCATCCACAGCTCTCTCCTTCATCCACGGCTCTCTCCTTCATCCACGGCTCTCTAATTCATGCACGGCTCTCTCCTTCATCCACGGCTCTTTCCTTCATCCACGGCTCTCTCCTTCATCCACGGCTCCCTCCTTCCTCCACGGCTCCCTCCTTCATCCACTGCTCTCTCCTTCATCCACAGCTCCCTCCTTGATCCACAGATCTCTCCTTCATGCACAGCTCTCTCCTTCATCGACAGCTCTCTCCTTCATCCACAGCTCTCTCCTTCATCCACAGCTCCCTCCTTCATCCACAGCTCTCTCCTTCATCCACAGCTCTCTCCTTCATCCACAGCTCACTCCTTCATTCACAGCTCTCTCCTTCATCCACGGCTCTCTCCTTCATCCACAGCTCACTCCTTCATTCACAGCTCGCTCCTTCATCCAAGGCTCTCTCCTTCATCCACGGCTCTCTCCTTCATCCACAGCTCTCTCCTTCATCCACAGCTCTCTCCTTCATCCACAGCTCTCTCCTTCATCCACAGCTCCCTCCTTCATCCACAGCTCTCTCCTTCATCCACAGCTCTCTCCTTCATCCACAGCTCTCTCCTTCATCCAAATCTCACTCCTTCATTCACAGCTCTCTCCTTCATCCACGGCTCTCTCCTTCATCCACGGCTCCCTCCTTCATCCACAGCTCCTTCCTTCATCCACAGCTCTCTCCTTCATCCACAGCTCCCTCCTTCATCCACGGCTCTCTCCTTCATCCACGGCACTCTCCTTCATCCACAGCTCACTCCTTCATTCACAGCTCTCTCCTTCATCCACAGCTCCCTCCTTCACCCACAGCTCCCTCCTTCATCCACAGCTCCCTCCTTCATCCACAGCTCTCTCCTTCATCCACGGCTCCCTCCTTCATCCATGGCTCTCTCTTTCATGCACAGCTCTCTACTTCACCCACAGCTCCCTCCTTCATCCACAGCTCTCTCCTTCATCCACAGCTCTCTCCTTCATCCACAGCTCTCTCCTTCATCCACAGCTCTCCCCTTCATCCACAGCTCTCTCCTTCACCCACAGCTCCCTCCTTCATCCACAGTTCTCTCATTCATCCACAGCTCTCTCCTTCATCCACAGCTCTCTCCTTCATCCACAGCTGTCTCCTTCATCCACAGCTCTCTCCTTCATCCACAGCTCCCTCCTCATTCATGGCTCCCTCCTTCATCCATAGCTCCCTCCTTCATCCACAGCTCTCTCCTTCATCCACAGCTCTCTCCTTCATCCACAGCTCCCTCCTTCATCCACAGCTCTCTCCTTCATCCACAGCTCTCTCCTTCATCCACAGCTCCCTCCTTCATCCACAGCTCTCTCCTTCATCCACAGCTCTCTCCTTCATCCACAGCTCCCTCCTTCATCCACAGCTCTCTCATTCATCCACAGCTCTCTCCTTCATCCACAGCTCTCTCCTTCATCCACATCTCACTCCTTCATTCACAGCTCTCTCCTTCATCCACGGCTCTCTCCTTCATCCACGGCTCCCTCCTTCATCCACAGCTCCTTCCTTCATCCACAGCTCTCTCCTTCATCCACAGCTCCCTCCTTCATCCACGGCTCTCTCCTTCATCCACGGCTCTCTCCTTCATCCACAGCTCACTCCTTCATTCACCGCTCTCTCCTTCATCCACAGCTCTCTCCTTCACCCACAGCTCCCTCCTTCATCCACAGCTCCCTCCTTCATCCACAGCTCTCTCCTTCATCCACGGCTCCCTCCTTCATCCATGGCTCTCTCTTTCATGCACAGCTCTCTACTTCACCCACAGCTCCCTCCTTCATCCACAGCTCTCTCCTTCATCCACAGCTCTCTCCTTCATCCACAGCTCTCTCCTTCATCCACAGCTCTCCCCTTCATCCACAGCTCTCTCCTTCACCCACAGCTCCCTCCTTCATCCACAGCTCTCCTTCATCCACAGCTCTCTCCTTCAGCCACAGCTCCCTCCTTCATCCACAGCTCTCTCCTTCATCCACAGCTCCCTCCTTCATCCACGGCTCTCTCCTTCATCCACGGCTCTCTCCTTCATCCACAGCTCACTCCTTCATTCACAGCTCTCTCCTTCATCCACAGCTCCCTCCTTCATCCACAGCTCCCTCCTTCATCCACAGCTCCCTCCTTCATCCACAGCTCTCTCCTTCATCCACGGCTCCCTCCTTCATCCATGGCTCTCTCTTTCATGCACAGCTCTCTCCTTCACCCACAGCTCCCTCCTTCATCCACAGCTCTCTCCTTCATCCACAGCTCTCTCCTTCATCCACAGCTCTCTCCTTCATCCACAGCTCTCCCCTTCATCCACAGCTCTCTCCTTCACCCACAGCTCCCTCCTTCATCCACAGCTCTCTCCTTCATCCACAGCTCTCTCCTTCATCCACAGCTCTCTCCTTCATCCACAGCTCTCCCCTTCATCCACAGCTCTCTCCTTCACACACAGCTCCCTCCTTCATCCACAGTTCTCTCATTCATCCACAGCTCTCTCCTTCATCCACAGCTCTCTCCTTCATCCACAGCTGTCTCCTTCATCCACAGCTCTCTCCTTCATCCACAGCTCCCTCCTTCATCCACAGCTCTCTCCTTCATCCACAGCTCCCTCCTTCATCCACAGCTCTCTCCTTCATCCACAGCTCTCTCCTTCATCCACAGCTCCCTCCTTCATCCACAGCTCTCTCATTCATCCACAGCTCTCTCCTTCATCCACAGCTCTCTCCTTCATCCACATCTCACTCCTTCATTCACAGCTCTCTCCTTCATCCACGGCTCTCTCCTTCATCCACGGCTCCCTCCTTCATCCACAGCTCCTTCCTTCATCCACAGCTCTCTCCTTCATCCACAGCTCCCTCCTTCATCCACGGCTCTCTCCTTCATCCACGGCTCTCTCCTTCATCCACAGCTCACTCCTTCATTCACAGCTCTCTCCTTCATCCACAGCTCCCTCCTTCATCCACAGCTCCCTCCTTCATCCACAGCTCCCTCCTTCATCCACAGCTCTCTCCTTCATCCACGGCTCCCTCCTTCATCCATGGCTCTCTCTTTCATGCACAGCTCTCTACTTCACCCACAGCTCCCTCCTTCATCCACAGCTCCCTCCTTCATCCACAGCTCTCTCCTTCATCCACGGCTCCCTCCTTCATCCATGGCTCTCTCTTTCATGCACAGCTCTCTACTTCACCCACAGCTCCCTCCTTCATCCACAGCTCACTCCTTCATCCACAGCTCTCTCCTTCATCCACAGCTCTCTCCTTCATCCACAGCTCCCTCCTTCATCCACAGCTCTCTCCTTCACCCACAGCTCCCTCCTTCATCCACAGTTCTCTCATTCATCCACAGCTCTCTCCTTCATCCACAGCTCTCTCCTTCATCCACAGCTGTCTCCTTCATCCACAGCTCTCTCCTTCATCCACAGCTCCCTCCTCATTCACGGCTCTCTCCTTCATCCACAGCTCCCTCCTTCATCCACAGCTCTCTCCTTCATCCACAGCTCTCTCCTTCATCCACAGCTCCCTCCTTCATCCACAGCTCTCTCCTTCATCCACAGCTCTCTCCTTCATCCACAGCTCCCTCCTTCATCCACAGCTCTCTCATTCATCCACAGCTCTCTCCTTCATCCACAGCTCCCTCCTTCATCCACAGCTCTCTCCTTCATCCACAGCTCTCTCCTTCATCCACAGCTCCCTCCTTCATCCACAGCTCCCTCAGCTCCCTCCTTGATCTGCTCTCGTGTTCCTTAACCCTCTGCTCCCTGGACGTCCAGGTGAAAACCCTTCAGCTGCCCTTCGCGGACACGAGCCCGGACGAGAGGGCCGGAATGCTCCAGCAGCTTGCCCAGGCGCTGGCGGCCTTCTACCGCGACCGGCTGCGGGGCCACGCGTGGGCCGCTGCTCTCCTCGTCCTGGCAGGCTTCGGCCTCCCCGTGGCCTGGCTGTGCCTCGCTGCACGGTGCGGGCGCAGAGGGCAGGATGATGGGACGCCGGTGCTGCCGTGACCCCCCCCCCACCCCCCTACCTCCCCCACCCAGTCCCCCGGTGGCTAGGAGATGTTGACTAGCTCGCCCGGTCTACAGGAGGTCGTGGGTTCCACCACCACCATCATCATCATCACGGTGGCTAGGAGATGCTGACTACCTCGCCTGGTGTTCAGGAGGTCGTGGGTTCCACCATCATCATCACGGTGGCTAGGATATGTTGACTACCTCGCCCGGTCTACAGGAGGTCGTGGGTTCCACCACCACTATCATCATCATCACGGTGGCTAGGAGATGTTGACTACCTCGCCTGGTGTACAGGAGGTCGTGGGTTCCACCACCACCATCATCATCACGGTGGCTAGATGTTGACTACCTCGCCTTGTGTACAGGAGGTCGTGGGTTCCACCACCATCATCATCACGGTGGCTAGGAGATGTTGACTACCTTGCCTGGCGTACAGGAGGTCGTGGCTTCGATCTGACGACGCCTGCTGTTGCATATTTGGAGACGGCGTGCCCCTCTCACCATCGCGGGTGCATGCGTTATTCCCTCCGTGTCCCTCGACATTTAAACTGGGCTACTGCTGTAAACGCCCACGTGATGATAATGATGATGATGATAAGCCACTCCGTTTGTGATAGTGAAGCCATTCTTGATTCGAAGCTATCGTGACCGCAGGAATCCCACAACTCTTTGGTGCCCTCGGGAAAGTCACCACTTGGTAGGCAGCCGACGTTTCAGCTCCCCCACCTGACGACGGGGCGCTTGGGTGTCGAGCCCGAAACGTCGCGATTTATTTTATTTCCCTACCTACCGGCCGATGACTTTGCTTGATTGTAGCCAAGAGCACGGAGTCACGTTCTTTGGGGGGGGGGGGGGGGTCTTCCGGTAAAGTCCACGTCGTTAGGTTCGAAGAATGTAACAAAATTAACAAAATAAAGTTCAATTTTGATTTAAAGCTTTCGTGACTGCAGGGATTCACATTCTTGGTTCTTTGGGTAAAGTCGCCACCACGTAGAAGGGAAACAATAAAATAATAAAAATATAAAACAATTAAATTCTCACGACGTTTCGACTGCAACGCAAGAAGCAATCATCATCAGGTGTGATGATGAGTGAGTACACACGGAGTGAGTGAGTGTGTACACACAGAGTGAGTGTGTACACACAGAGTGAGTGTGTAGACACAGTGTGTACACACGGAATGAGTGTGTACACACAGAGTGAGTGTGTACACACAGAGTGAGGGTGTACACACGGAATGAGTGTGTACACACAGAGTGAGTGTGTACACACGGAATGAGTGTGTACACACAGAGTGAGTGTGTACACACGGAATGAGTGTGTACACACACAGTGAGCGTGTACACACACAGTGAGTACACACAGAGTGAGTGAGTGTGTATACACAGAGTGAGTGTGTACACACAGAGTGAGTGAGTGTGTACGCAGAGTGAGTGTGTACACACAGAGTGAGTGAGTACACACGGAGTGAGTGAGTGTGTAGACACAGTGAGTGAGTACACACAGAGTGTCTACACACAGAGTGAGTGTGTACACACAGTGAGTGTGTACACGCTCACTCTGTGTGTACACACGGAGTGAGTGTGTACACGCGGAGTTCAGTGAGTGTGTACACGCGGAGTGAGTGTGTACACACAGAGTGAGTGTGTACACACAGAGTGAGTGTGTACACGCGGAGTCAGTGTGTAGACACAGAGTGAGTGTGTACACACGGAATGAGTGTGTACACACACAGTGAGTGTGTGTACACACACAGAGTGAGTGTGTACACACACAGAGTGAGTACACACAGAGTGAGTTGTACACAGAGTGTGTACACACAGAGTGAGCGAGTGAGTGTGTACACACAGAGTGAGTGTGTACACACGCAGTGAGTGTGTACACACGGAATGAGTGTGTACACATACAGTGAGCGTGTACACACAGAGTGAGTACACACAGTGAGTGTGTACACGCTCACTCTGTCTGTACACACGGAGTGAGTGTGTACACGCGGAGTGAGTACACACGGAGTGAGTGTGTATACGCGGAGTGAGTGAGTGTGTACACGCAGAGTGAGTGTGTACACACACAGTGAGCGTGTACACACAGAGTGAGTACACACAGAGTGAGTGTGTACACGCTCACTCTGTGTGTACACACACAGTGAGCGTGTACACACAGAGTGAGTACACACGCTCACTCTGTGTGTACACACAGAGTGAGAGTGTACACACAGAGTGAGTGTGTACACACGGAATGAGTGTGTACACACACAGTGAGCGTGTACACACAGAGTGAGTACACACAGAGTGAGTGAGTGTGTATACACAGAGTGAGTGTGTACACACAGAGTGAGTGAGTGTGTACACACAGAGTGAGTGAGTGTGTACACACAGAGTGAGTGAGTGTGTATACACAGAGTGAGTGTGTACACACAGAGTGAGTGAGTGTGTACACACAGAGTGAGTGAGTGTGTACACACAGAGTGAGTGAGTGTGTACACACAGAGTGAGTGTGTACACACACAGTGAACGTGTACACACAGAGTGAACGTGTACACACAGAGTGAACGTGTACACACAGAGTGAGTGTGTACACACACAGTGAGTGTGTACACACGGAGTGAGTGAGTGTATACACACGGAGTGAACGTGTACACACAGAGTGAGTGAGTGTGTACACACAGAGTGAGTACACAAGGAATGAGTGTTCCACCCCCTCTGTCTCGCTATTCACGCTACCGGGCCCACGTCTCGAAATTCATGTTGCCAGGCCTCCGTCTCTCTATTCATGTTACCGGGCCTCCGTCTTGGTATTCATGTTGCCGGGCCTCCGTATCGCTATTCATGCTACAGGGCCTCCGTCTCGGTATTCATGTTACCGGGTCTGCGTTTTGCTATTCATGTTACCGGGCCGCCGTATTGCTATTCATGGTACCGGGCCACCGTCTCGCTATTCATGTTGCCGGACCTCCGTCTCGCTATTCATGCTACAGGGCCTCCGTCTGGCTATTCATGTTGCCGGGCCTCCGTCTGTCTATTCATGTTGCCGAGCCTCCGCTCCGCTATTCATGTTACATGGCCCCTGTCTCTCTATTCATGTTACTGAACCTCTGCCTCGCAATTCATGTTACCGAGCCTCTGTCTCACTATTCATGTTACCAGGCCCCTGTCTCGATATTCATGTTACCGAGCCTCTGCCTCGCTATTCATGTTACCGAGCCTCTGCCTTGCTATTCATGTTACCGGGTAACCCCCTCTCGCTATTCATGTCACCGGGGGCCCCCTAACGACGCTATTCATGTTACCGGGTCTCCGTGTCTCTATTCATGTTGCGGGGCTCCCCGCCTCTCCCCCTGCGAGCTCTACGGCTGGGGCCTTCGCTTCGCTGCTGGGTGAGGCTCAGCAGACCCCGCAGACTGCAACGCCTTGGCTCTATACACTACACTATACACTACACTACTATACACTACACTATATACTATACACACTACACTATACTATACACTACACTATATACATACACTATATACTATATACACTACACTATACTATACACTACACACTACACTAATACACTATACACTACACTATACACTACAATACACACTACACACACTACACACACACACTACACTACACACCACACTACACACACACTACACACACACACTACACACACACTACACACACCACTCTACACACACCACACTACACACACACACTACACACGCACTACACATACACACTACACACACACTATACACACTACACACACTCACCACTCACCACCCTACACACACTACACACACACTACACACTCACCACACTACACACACACTACACACACACTACACTACACACACTATACACACACTACACACACTATACACACACACTACACACACACTACACACACACTACACACACTACACACACTCACCAATCACCACACTACACACACTACACACACACACTACACACACTATACACACACTACACACACTCACCACTCACCACACTACACACACTACACACACTCACCACTCACCACACTACACACACTATACACACACACTACACACTCACTACACACACACCACACTACACAGACACTACACACTATACACACACTACACACTATACACACACTACACACACACTACATACACTACACACTCTCTCTCCCCACACACTACACACACTACACACACACATACCACTCACCACACTACACACACTACACTACACACACTACACACGCATAACACATACACACTACACACACACTACACACACTATACACACACTACACACACTCACTACACTACACACACACACTACACACACTCAACAGTCACCACACTACACACACTACATACACACTACACACACATTACACACACTCACCACTCACCACACTACACACACTCACCACTCACCACACTACACACACTACACACACACTACACACACTCACCACACTACATACACACTACACACACTACACACACTCACCACTCAACACACTACACACACTCACCACTCACCACACTCCACACACTACACACATACTACACACACTCACCACTCACCACACTACACAAACTACACACACTCACCACTCACCACACTACACACACTACACACACACTCCACACACTACACACACACACTACACACACACTACACACACTACACAGACTCACCACTCACCACACTACACACACTACACACACACTCCACGCACTACACACACACACTACACACACTCACTACTCACCACTCACCACACTACACACACTACACACACTCACCACTCACCACACTACACACACACACTCACCACTCTACACACTACACACACTACACACTCTCTCTCTCTCACACACTCTGACCTCTCCTCACACACACTCCACACACTCTCTCTCTCACACACTCTCACCTCTCACTCTCTCTCTCTCTCACCAAACTCACCAGTCTCTCTCCCCTCACTCTCTCCCCACTCTCCCC